AACCCTAGCCTTTTTTAATGGACCGCTGGCCAAAACCCCCAACCCTAGCCTTTTTTTAATGGGACCGTCTGGCCAAAACCCCCAACCCTAGCCTTTTTTTAATGGACCGCTGGCTGTTAAGGCTATAAAATTTTATCTAAATTTCAACCTCTCTGAAACATCATTTTTAGAAGCATTATTGTTTCTTCAGTAAATGGGGTAAATTATTTGTCCACAAGCAAACATTTGGTCCCGAAGTTTTTTTTTCCAGACCTGAATTTGTTGATGACAATGTAGCATTTTGTGTCAACACTTGTAATGAGAAGTATTTTATTGGCAAAACAACATAAAACCTACCATTATTAAGTACATAATGTAACACTAAATGAAGCATAAACTTGTTGAATACAAAGATTTAAGATTGATATTATCTACAATGCATATGATCATATCAACAGTGTATGTTTTAAAATGATATGAAGGTTTACATGTAGCTGCTATACAATTCATAGAGCTAGCATCAGTATTGTACATAATTATGAAAGCTGATATAGTGATAGTATCAATTCTAGGTTGTGATTAATAATGATAATTGTACATGTACATGTATGTCTTCAGCTATTGCACATACATTTATACCCTGTAGCTTACATATATAACAGATCAAAAGTATATATTGTACTACCTTCTGTACTATACAATATACAATGTACATGTACATGGGTATACAATGTGCGTCAACTCCAAAATAATGACACAAAAATTGCCAACATTTATGCAGCTATTGCACATACATTTATACCCTGTAGCTTACATATATAACAGATCAAAAGTATATATTGTACTACCTTCTGTACTATACAATATACAATGTACATGTACATGGGTATACAATGTGCGTCAACTCCAAAATAATGACACAAAAATTACCAACATTTATGCAGCTATTGCACAATACATTTGCTAGTTGTAGTTTCCTTATCAAAACAAGACTTAGATGATATTCCTACAAAACAAGGCAGAACCACACACCATAATCACTTACATGTACATTTCATTATTTATGAAATGTTGTTTACAATAGTTAATTATGATAAAATTTGACTGGACAATGAAAATATTGGTTGTATATGGTACAGCTGAAAAGATGTTTCTACTATCGATGTGACTTTTACTCTATTTGGGTTCACAATCATCTTCGATTTACACCGTTAGTTATTCTTTCTGTCCACTATTGGTCAGTTCTCTTCTCCCATTGTATAGCTTTTTTTATCCCCAAGGTTGAGTTCGTTCTGCAGTTTTTTCCTTCGTTCCTCCTGCCTGTTTAGCCACCATGTGTACGTCCCAACAATGATGGACCCCACCAACACTAGCCCCCCTCCCCCAACCTCCATGTATGTTGGTTCCTTTTTCAACAACACGTAGTCAAACAGCAAAGAAAAGGGAATCACCCCGTTTTCTAGTGTCTGCACAATCCCTGCCTTTTCTAACTTCAACCCCGCGTACAGAAAAAACATGGCGGCGCCGTAGCTACCGGCGTGAGCGAATGCGTACGCCCACGTTTGGGAGTCGAGCTTCCAGACTGGGTTTTCGAAAATCAGCATCAAGGGTAAGAGTATGATCACTCCGATGCCTTGGATGTAAAACACGAGCGTGAAGAGATGCACGGTGTGACGCAGTAGCGAACGTCCTAGGACCATCATGGCCGAGATACTGAGCGCAGCGGACAATGGTAGAAGAATTGATCTGGCGATTTCCGGAGGTTCATCCGAAAGGCTCTCCCCCTCCTGCATGCCTACAGCCACTAACACAACCCCAACTATACACACAAGAATCCCACACAGGTTAACAATTGCAACAGCCTCTTTTAAGAACACCAGTGCCATTATCGTCGTAAAGACTGGTCCTAACCCGCGTATAATGCTATACGCTTGTCCTGGAGACACGTAAATAATAGAGAATAGTAACAAAATGGTGGCAATGTTTCTCCCAACCCCCATCGCAACGAGCATCCCAGTTTGCTTACGTGTTTCTCCTAACAAACTAGGTCGTACGTACGCAACAAGGATGAGGTTGAACGCAAAGATACAGGTACGGTTCAGAAAAATGATCTGGAAAGAGGAGAAACCTCCGGCGTGACTTAGCTTCATGAAGTCTCCGGCTAGAGCGAAGAAAATCGTACAGACAAGAACCAAGGTCACGCCCAATCCGGCGCGGAGTGTCTTCCAAAGTCGACTGCCTTCTTGTTCGCTTGGTTCTTCCTGAGTTTCCAAAGTGTTCATGTTTGCGGCTTGTTCTTGTTCTGATTCCTTTTTTTGAACGCAAGAAGGGTGTTCGCACTCTTCAGTGATTGAGGACAGTTTTCCGGTGAGCGGCGACAGTTCATTCGGTTCTGTTTTTGCCATGTTGCTCTGACTGCGAATGAGATTTCCCATCTGTTTAGCAACAGTTTATTAAGATTACTTCTTCAACTTTGCTAAGAATGGACCAGAAAGTCCAGAGTTTCAATCCCAGGCCTGTTGTTTCTCAGTATTGACAAGATAAACTGCATGTGACACTTGTGGTCCCACAGGTATTATATTTTATAAAGAAAGGTCCAGATCATTTTACTGCTACCACCTGTGTAACGCTCTTTTCTGGCCTCAAGCATCTAAGGATTGACCTAATTGTACATTGTGTAGTTCTCTTAACTTTCCTGAGGGGGTATCTAAGGGGTGACCCAGTTCACTGGACCGTCTAGCCCGGAGGGGCTATCTTTGGGGTCTTACAGTAGTCTTAGTTCCCACAGAGTAAATACTGTCTGTAGAGAGCTTCAAGTGTTTGTCTTCTTAGTTTGTCTTCTTTCTGAAGTCCTTTTCTTTTGCTGTCTCCTCAAAGAATTAGCTTCACAATTTTTAAACCACCTGGGATAAACAGAGCACAGTCATTCAAGAAGTCCAGTCTTTAAGATCCAAGCTCCCTTTTAGACTTACATGTATATGTAAGTCCCAGTGACACTCCTTACCCTTGTTTTGGACAGAATTCTTCAAGGTTCAAACTTGACGAATTTCTAACAAAGAGTGAGTTCAATTGTCCAGTCAACCATTTCAATTTGATCTAGTTCTGCCGCCACTTCTGTTGTCAGAAAGATATAAAGAACTGTACACTTGTGTCCGTGCAGTCTCAAACTTCCAAGTTCCCTTCAAGTTTTGAGTTCTGATTAAGCTCCTCAGCCTTGGGAAGAATTCTGAGAGGGAGTGAGTTCAAATATCCAGTCAACTGTTACAGTTTGATCTTGTTCTGCCTCCTATGCTGTTGTCATAAAGGCATAAAGAACTGTACACTTGTGTCTGTGCAGTCTTGAACTTCCTAGTTCCCTTCCTTGTTTGAATTTCAGCCTTGCTTGGGAAGAATTCCGAGAAAGAGTGACAACAAAATGTACAACCAACCGTTCCAGTTCAGTCTTGTTCTACCACCTCTGCTGTCCAAAAGTCCACGAAATCGGTGACACGTTTGCACAGCTTCGAAAATGGGAGTTCCAACGAAGCTCCTCAGTGTAGTCTTGTGCAGAAGTTGAGACCCACTGAAATTCCAAGAAAGAAAGAACATGTATCGTTAACGAATCCAGTAGTGCGACTGCAAACACTGCTACCCATGCATGGTTCAATACACGGCAGTTTTCAATCGGCAGTCAAAGTCCTGACATGCACCGACTGTGTTTGACACCCTGCCCTAACCAGAATAGGGCAATGTAGCATGTCACGGCTATGCCAGCAGTTCAAATTCTTTGCACTTCTATATCAAGCATGTTTACCTAGGGAATGACAGAGTCACATGTGATGTCTGAGTGACGTGTGGGCCAGTCGAAGTTAGTTCTGTGGATAGTGTTGTATCGTGTCACATTTTTAGCACATGGCAGGCATTCAAAGTCCCAATAAATCTACATTTTTACACATATATGGTATTTATGGTGCAAAAACACACATAACGGTGAATCTTTGATTGCTAGTAATGCATTACATGTTCAAGGTGGCCAATCTAGACTTAAACAATGTATATTGTTCTGTGAACCGTTTTGCATATTTCAAGGGGGTGTTGTCTTTGGGAGGGGATAGGTAGGTCTAAATTCTTTGTTTGGTGAGGCTATTACTAGAGGCCACCCCTATTCCCTAAGGCATTATCTGAACACAAGTCAACATACATGTACATGTAAATCATTGTCAACTTGTACGTTACAAACAATAGATACAAAGCTTGTGTGGAATGTTGTTAGGCCATTTACTGCTCAAAATAACGCACAGGTAAAAGCAGATGAAACATAATTATGCAAAGAATGGTGTTACAAATGTACATGTTAGCTTTCTGGTCATGTTCATAAAAGGTAAACATACTTTTGTACACCTGTAAAAACTATTTGTGTACCCTGAAGCTATTTAGAGCCACTCGGACCAAGTTCGTGTCAGTGTCATGCATGCATGCATGAATAGGAAAGAAAAACAAAGGGTTTCATCATACTGTGATACCAGAGTTTTTCACAGTACTTTTATGTTCACAGTTTTTATGGTCACTTTGAATCTGTACTGTGAATTTATCAATTCATTACTGTTATCATATCATGGATTGTCCTTTGCCCATCCCTCTTGCTGCCACCATGAAGATTAAGAAGATTAAGATCTGGTTTACACGGGACAAAAGATTATTTGTCCTAGTAGACGGTGATGGTGATCGACATGCCGTGTGATGCATGTCATAGGACAGGTTTTTGGAGACAGTACAGGCCTCAAAATTAACTTTTTTCCCTGTTGTCCCAGCATAGTCCCGAAAATAAATTTCTGAATTGTCCCGAACTATGAGCATGAATTGTCCCAACATGATTTTCAGGAAGTATGTATGACAAAAACTTGAAGTCAACTTTATTTTGCTTAATATATGACTTCCAGGTACCTTACTAGACTGAGTTTTGGGAGAAATTTTGTAGAAATTTGGGGGCTTTCCCAGAGCCAAAAGCTGAGACGCGTGCCTGATCAACTAAAGAAGGGCTGACATTCTGATGTTGATTTTTTTCTACTGTCCCAAAAATGTCCGAAAGTGTCTTTTTAGTTGTCCATTTTAGTGGTCAGTGACCACTGGACCACCTTTAATTTCAAGCCCTGGCACTGTGCGTTGTGTAAAAAAGTTCTGTGAACAGGGAAAGGCCTGCACCTTCAAAGTTTGCACCTTCAAAGTTACAAGGCTGGACATTGTAGTCTATACTGTGCAGGCCACCGCAGTGTAAAATTACTAAGTATAATAATCATAGGGAAAAAGATGAAATTGTTGTTGGAAAAGTGACGGGTTGGCAATTGCACTGTGAGATTTGCAATTGCAAGGGACGTCAACATGTTTAGGCATACCACCCCATTTTTCCATGCACAACTTATATCAAAGAGAATAAATGTAGCATAATGATTTAATCATTATATATACCAATACCTACATGTATACTTCGGTACCTAATGACCGTATCAATTGGAAATAGCTTGACCAGTTAAACTTTGAAAGGAAAGGATACTTAAAAGCTACTTACGAAAATTAAAGCTTCAAAAGACGTACCTGTGGACAAGGTGTGAAAACATGCCCATCCTTTAATGGCAAACACTGTTCTGAAGACACCACATGAATCAAAGACAGACACTGAAAATGTGGACAGACTTTTTTGTCTAGTTGATGACCTATTTACATTTTGATGAGATGATTAATAATAGTATAATTATTAAGTTGTCATGTATATATCAGTATATAATTATGTATTTTGTGGTCCTCAAAGCTGAGACACTCTGTAACTCTGATTATTTCAAAGCTTTAAAAAAGTATCTGCAAATGTGAATATTGCCAATATTCATACATTGGAATGTTTATAAAGATCTTCCTGACCAAAATCATGAAAATCCATTGTCTTTTTCTCCTCTTTGCAAGATTTTATCCAAAGCACATTGATGTATAATTATGTCATCAACTTCTCAAGACACATACATCAATGTCCAGGACCAGAGGTCTGTCACCATGGTAACTGTTGCTATAGCAGACACCCTGTGGTGTTGGACTGATCACATTTTGTAGCTGGAGGGTCTGGTCACAATATATTTAGTGTTCAACTTCGAACCAAGTGGTCCCGGGTTTGAATCTCGCCCAATGTCACCAAACTTGTGCCCTTGGGAAAAACACTTTACATGACTTTCCTCACATCACTCAGGCAGACAGGATGTTAAATGGAGGTCCTGTGTTTGGGGAGAGCCACACCCCATGCATGTTAAGGAACCCACCAACAGTTATTGAAAGGAGTAATTAGCCACACCTGGGGTCGTATTGAGGTCACCTGAGTTAGCGCCAAAGGGCAGCGGCTACAGACCCTTGTACATTTGTAATCAAGCCCCAATAATTGTCAGCTCCTCACAATTCAGCCCTTGGCTGCCAAGAGAGAGTAGCCAGCCCACCCAATAACAATTGTTAACAAAAATGACATTAAACAACATTATGATGTCACACACATGCCCTTTACTGATACATGGTTTAAAATAAATAATTTCCTGCCCTATACCAGCTTTATGTGTGTAAACATGCTGTTAAGTGTTTGTCGTTTTGTTCTGCTTTATACTGCCTGAGGCTCAGGTATAACTTGCCAAAGCGTCTATTAGCCAGCCATCTGGCCATAATGACTGCTTTTTCTTGGTCCCGATTTTTTTCCTTTAGGCAAAAGCATCAAGGGACTCACCACTTGTCCAATCCTATTGAACTGAATGCTATAAACTACATTGTGTTGTAAATGCATTAAGGAATTACGTCATAGAGAGCACCATAAAGCAACAAAAGTCCATTTGAATCTGTCTTCTCATTTTAATTGCTGTTTGCATTTTGTGTAAAATTCATATCTCAGTAAACCTTGGCTTTGAGAGTACAGACTTTGTTTAGATATCTGGACAATATTTTATCAGGGTGTTGCCTTGATACAAGTAAGTCAGTGAGATTGCTCTGTTTGAAGTTTGTTTTCCAAAAGGTCAGATTTGAAATGTTTTCTTTGTGTAAAAGAAAGAATGGGGATAAGAATTCTATGAATGAAATGTGTCTGAGTCAGTTAGCCCATCCCATTTCGAAATCTTAAGGAACAGTCCACAAGAAACGGAGGGGGGTTGTCTCAGAGTTTTTCTTACCATGCTTGAAAGTGCTGATTTTTATCTTTCCTTTTTTGTATTAATTTTTTGTACTTTATTTTTTGCTTTTCCATATCTCACCCCATTTCTTGTCCTTGTCTTTTGATTCTCTTAAACTGTCCTATATCATTGCTGTTTCCGTTGTTAGAGAGTAAATAAAACTACATGTATCTAGCCTACACCGGTGCAATAGCTGAATGGGGGGTATAGCTCGCTTTGTAACCGAGCGGTCGTGAGTTCAAACCCCGGCCAGGTCATACCAAAGACTTAAAAAATGGTACATATTGTACAGCTTTCTCTGCTTAGCACCCAGCATCTATGAGAAAGAGTATGGAGAGATCAAACACACACCACTACCAACCCCCTGCTGTAGTGATTGCACAACTGTGCGGCCCAAGGGCTACAGAAGTGGAGATGGACATCACCCCTATGCTCCGCAAGGAGTGGAAAGGGTCCTTTATTCATCATTCTACTCACATATGTGCACAACACTGCATGACTTGATGTCATCTCTTTTCTCATCTGAGAATGTCAATAGTGTTACCCTCCAAGCCACCTCCCTCCATTTAAACTGATGTGTTGACCATCAGGCATTGTCGTGAATTGTTCCAGAAAGAAGGCTATGCCATTTGCTTCTAATAGGTCCAACTGTTGGGAAGTCATACCGTCTTTGCAAAGGAAATATTATCGTTACTGCTCATTGCCTAACCTTTGTATTCTTTTTCCATGGCTCGAAATCCTTTTTTGTCACACTTTTTTGTAACATTGAAACTTAGTAGTTAATACCTGCAACAGACAAGTTTTACCTGCACCACTCAGAATTTAGGAAGTATGGATCATACTAAAAACTGTTCAGAAACCATTTGCCATTATTTTTAACTTATACATTATGTACATGTACTTCATTCATGGTTTAAAGCCAGTTTATGGACCAGTGCAGGTTAGGTGCAGGTTGCTAATACGACATCAGAAATGCCTACACAGCAGCAATTTTACATGCACTAACCTGCATTTGCATGCAAGTGGTATTGTCAGCCTATTTTTGAATGAAACTCCTCAAATTGAAAAGCAGAATATACATTCAAGCAAAAGTTCAATTTGGTACTGATTTGGGTCACCCTAACACTTTAGATCAAATCTAGATCTTGTCATGAATATCATCATGAAACACAGTCTGATAGTGTTAAAAATAATTGTACCATTTGAATGCAGGATAGATTGAAAAAGTTAAGTTTTCAAACCTTTTCCCTGCTGATGTAGCCATTTGGCACTAAGTCATATTGCTTACAGGGATAGGTAGCAGGGAGAAGGTTGAAATCTTCTGATATCTTGTGAATACAAAATCTGGAAACCTATCCTGTGACAAAAAAGTATGTGAGCAACAGAATAAGAAAAGTTAACATAGCCACAGATGGACATACACAACCAGAATTTCTCTCACCTGCTTATGTTTCGATGTCTATCAGACACCTTCCTCAGAGCTTCTGACTGGAGTTCTGCTTCTCGACGCTGTATCTAGCCGTAGTAGGTACCTCTTTTATATATAGCCCCAGATGTACTATTCAAACATGGCATCAAATGGCTGAATGGCTAGGCTAGCAGGCATGAGATGGAGAGGTCGCAGGTTCGAATCCCGGCATTCCTGGCTAAATTTTATACAACTTTCCTCACTCCTCCCATGGCAGGTGTAGATGTAAAATCAGTACCTGATTTAGTTGGGGAGATAAAAGGCAGTGGAAGGAGAGGGATGGGCTCTGCCTTCCAATACCGTGCCCTAGATACATCTACAGTGGATTAACAACCCACTGCCCCTATGGTCTGAAAAAGGCTATCCAGCACAAGAGGAATGCTTGCATAGAGATTCTGTCAACCACCAAAATGATGCATCACTTCTCTTAAACAACAACTTAGTTAGCTTGAAGACAACATAATCTGTTGACATACTGACACGGTGGTGTTTTTTTAGACAGAATCTTGATGTTATTTACATCTAATGTCAGTTTGCGAACTTTTGTGATTTGGATGTGATCTTTCTTTGTGTGGCCCCATATCCGTATTTTTACCAGAGAGTTTTGGTGTCCTTTACAAAGAAATTTAGTCGCTTTAGGCCACTACAATTTAATTTGTTGGTTCTCGGATTCGCCTCTTTTTTTCTAATATGCACACACACAAAAAAAGATTATGGTTCTGAATCAACTCAAATATAGTCATATTTTACCACCAACAGTTGAGGCAAGTTCTTTTCTTCCTAGCTGTTACAGTTTTTCCATCTATCAATGCAGTGGTTTGATTAAAAGTTCAAAATTCTAAATATTAAAGTTAAATATTAACCCCAGCCTTTTGTGTTGACTTCATGGCTCCTATAGTATTTGGGGCTGCATAATAGGATGCCTAGACCTGTTGTTATTTTTATTATTCTTGCCCTGTCGCTTCATATTTTTTTCTGAAAAAATCCGAGAACCAACAAATTAAATTGGTGTGGCCTTAAAGGGGAACAAGTGGTTATGTCATCGCGAAGGTGGGGAGTGGGAAAATGGCAGCAGCCAATTTATCAATGCTACCTGCTAGCCACAACTTCAAACGGCCGGTAGCACTCTGAACAAGATGGACTAGCGAATTAAGTGTAGGAAATCACTTTTCAGACATATCATGTGTGATATAATGACGGGTTTTATGTAACAGTAAAGATCCAAAAGCTTATTCTGTTTAGGCTTAGGAAAGAAACTGTTGTTTCCTGTTTCAGTCCTGAAAAAATTAAGGACAGCCACTAATATTTTTCAGTGCCAATGATGGAAAACTGATTGTACATACAACTTTTCATTAAAAGATTTGTCCCTCGTAGGGGTCCACACACGAAAAAGGCTAGGATCTGCAGTTTTTTTAGGGTCGTTCGGGAATTTTTTGTCCTAGGCCTTAGTAAGAAGTCTGTGCTCACAGTTGTTTTGATTTATGAGATAAAAATGTTGTACTGTTTCTTTTTTTTCTTCTTGTGACCAATTTTCTTTCTTGTTCCCCCATGCAGCACCAGGTGGTGACTCCATCATTGTGTCCCACATCAGCCAACATGGAGGCAGGTGGCCGTACTGGTTCAGGAAAATGGGTGGGTACACAATGGCCTTAAAAGTTCATTATGTAACTTTTTTGCACCAAAAATTGAAATATTTCTATTTCAAAAAATGTGGAAGCACATGGACACACTTATACCTTCATTTTACATGCAGGTAACAAATATCAATCAATCAAATATCTGACAAATATTTCACCTAGCCGTTCTGTGTGTACTGTATCTAATAATAAATGTGGACAGCCTGTCAGTGAACAGCCTTGGCTGACTGATCCATGTGGTATACATGTTTGTTTACTGTCACATGCTCACTAAATAACTTTATACAAATAACATACAGACATATAATCAATGGGAATTTCAGCACTTCATTTTCTGCGGCCTGCTCCTTTTTGTACGAGGTATTAAAGAGGCCATTTACATTGTACATCAGCCGTTACAACCATGCTTCAACAAAGACGGGGCACCACAGCCTTTCTGTAACATACATTTGTACAATGTACAGTGTATGATCCACTGCTCATCGAGTCACCCATGTCATCTGTTCTTGACAAAAACTGAAGTCTTCAGTCAAATTTGGGTACTGATATTAATTTGATATCATGTCTTGCCACCAATGGGTAGAGTGCTCGCCTTGCAATCGGTAGGTCGTGAGTTCGATCCCCTTGCCAAATCATACCAAAGACTTTAAAAATGGTACAGACTGTTTTCTCTGCTTAGTATCAGCATTGGAAAGTATGGGAGTTGAACTCACACCACTTCCAGTGGAGTAACCCCCTTCTGTAGTAATTGCACTGCTGAAGTATCTATTGAAAACAGAGATGAGTGCCGCCTTATGCATCACTTGATGTGGGAAGGTTCTTTAACTAACTAACTATCATATCTGTCCCTACAGAGAATGTAAAGAACCTGGGAAGGCACACGTTGAGGCTACAGGTTGTCATGAATGAAAGTGACAACACTGTCTTCGCAGGGAAGGAACTCCCCTCTCTCAACATCAAGTTTACTGTCACAGGTACATTTTGTCTTTAATTTCTTTTTTATCATGATTACCTTTAGTTAGCAGAAGGAAAACATACTGTTTTTGTGCTCTGTTTCTTCTTCGTCTCCAAACAAATGAAGTCAATGACCTGGACCAGCCAACAGTCACCATGGTAACTGATGCTGTAGCAGACACCCTGTGGTGTTGGATTACATTATGTAGCAAGTGGTAGGAGGGGTTGTCTACCATATGTACGAATGTGTTTCAGTGAGAACAAACAGAGCAGTAGTTTTTTCAGCTATGTGAAGGTTAACAACTTGATGCTTTGCAAATGTTGTAGTTGATTCCTATATGCATACCGTCATAATTTCAAAGTTGTATGCTAAGTTTTGTTTGTTTCATTATATTTCATTCCATGCCATGATATAGATGAAATATATATATATATTTTTTATATCCTCTTACCACAGAGGCAGCACCTGACAAGTTCACGGTTGGTTTGATGGACCCCCCGTTCAGAGTGGGACAGCCCTTCCAGATCCCCCTGGAGCTACAGGATGAGTTTGGACACCCCACCTCAGCCACCAACAAACTACAGCCTGTCTTAGAAGCAAGGTTTGTCAAACATCTCACTATTTTAGTAGATTCATGGTTCAATTTAAAGATTTGGGACAAAGGAATGGTTTTCAGATATTTGATAAGAGAGCAATGAAGCAAGGGTGCTCCCCTTCTCCCTAAAATCCTAGCACCTCTACCAAAGTGTTCAAATTTAGGGTTTTTCTCTTAGTTTTTTCCTGAAAGTTTGCTGATTTTTCATCAACAGATTAGAGAGCACCTCTCCCTTAAGAATTTCTGGGGAGACTCCTGGAGATGAATTTTGTAGGCACGGCTATAATTCCAAGAATGCATTTAGTTTGCGATTACGATTATACGACAATCATACAACTGGGTTCTTAACAAAGACCTTTTTGTTTTGCTCTGACAGTGGTCTAGACCTGACCTATGAGGGTACAGAGGCCAAGGGGACGACACTTGTCATCAAGAAGGTTACAGCACTGGGAGATGTGGGCTCACATCAGGGCAAGGTACAGCTATACCTTAATATAGTCTTTCCTAACTTGGTCTAGTTAACTGTGGGAACTGTAGTACTGTTACACAATGAATTTGTTAAAGGAAATACATTGTAACTAGCTCAAATACATGAAAAAAAACACTGACACAATAGTACACATTTTAAGTTGTATTGTGAAGAAATGCCTTTCATACTAAGATTATAAGTTGTGCATTTGCAGTACTTGTGTGTGCCATGTTGTTAAATGTTATGTTGTTCTTTTTGATTCTGAATCAGAACTTCAACTTAAAGGTGACTCTACCAGGGTTAGAGGAGGACACTCAGGTGCTGAAAATACGGCTCCTACCTGGTAAGTTCTGACATACATGTACAATGTACATATTACTAGCACAATAATAGGGCTGTAAGGCCATCTTCAATATTAAGAAGATTGATAATAAGTATTTCAAGACAAGGTCTTAACTGGGTTGAGGAAGAGACAGAGATACTAAGTAAACTGATGGTAAGAAGACTTCTACACAAAAATTGAAGATGGCCTTATACATGTAGCTGCTTTATTCTGAAAAATTAAATACATGTAATATGCAAGAAATTGAACTGATGGTATCTGTTGTACTTTCAGATTTTGCTTCTGCAGACCAATAGTTTCTTTCTGGGCTTTCTCTCACACTGAATATCCATTGTGTTGTCTGTTTTACCTCATGCAGGCCCCCCTAGCTCCCTGCATGTAAAGCCTGGTGATGACAGCCTGCAGGTAGAGAATGGGAAGGAGCTGAGCTTTGATGTGGAAGTCAGGGACAAGGCTGGCAACATCTCAACACAACCTAAACTGGACGTCACATGCAAGGTATTAACATGTGGGACATGGAAAGAGAAGTTACGGGTTTGATTCCTGGCTTTCCTGGCTAGATGTTTTATCCAACACAAGGGTACAAAAGGATCAAATTTTCAATGACCACTGTCAATGTCATCACGATAAATAATGATCAATCATTTCAAAACATAAACTTACTAGAGTTACAATTACATGTACAGACACATGACTTTATTCACATGAGACTTTACGGATACCGGTATGTGGTATCAGCAGTTGAATCTAACAGTTCTTGATGAAATGTAGTTCACAGGTTCGTCAGGCCTGCCTACCTACACTGTGGACTGCAGTAACACAGGACGGGGGGTGCTCACAGGCGATCTCATACACGTCAGGAACATGAAGAAGGAACATGTGCTCAAAGCTGTCATATCATGCCCAGTAAGTTCACAGTTTTTAGAACAGTTAATGTATGATTGTACGTCTCTTAGCAATTTTTCTTCAGTAAACGGGTGGAATATGTTTCCTCAGGCAAACAGGTGAATAGGTCCTTGAGACAGTCCTGATACATTGTTAAAGTTTATTTGTTGGATCATTTTAGCCAAAATCTAAAAAAATTATCTTTGGAATATAGTACATGACTAAGAGCTACTACAGATTCATTTTACAGTTTCTAGTATAATTATTTTTGTTTTTGTATCATTCAGAATGTATAATTTTCAATCAAGTCTTTTCTGCAATTTTTCCAGAGCTTTAGAGGCATCCCTGCTATAGAGAAGAGAATCCTTGTAACCCCCAGTACACGAGCGTCCACCCTGGAACTCTCCTACACGGACCCTCAGGACACAGCAGTGCAAGTCAGACACCAAGCAGATGTCACATGTACTGCAGGAGAAACTCTCAGTGGCCTTAGTAAGTCTCACATGATTAGGTTTCACGAAGAAAAACATCAAAGCATGGTGCATGTATCACCCTACAGTTTTCTTGGTCTCATATTACAGTTCTACGTCAGATTCTATACATTAAGCTTAAGCTGTCTGCCACTTTTTGATAACACAAACTTATACAAAGTGTTGTTTAAGATTGTAAGGCATTAGATTTTGAAACAGTTACTTTTTTTCAGCTTTCAAAGTACTTGATGAGGCCTCAAGAGTTCTGCCCATCACCGAATCCATGGCAGCCAAAATCAAGGTACATTGATTTATGTTTATTTTTTTTAGATTCTTAACGCAAGTATAAATATTAGTATAAATATTAACTAAGCATTCCTCCTTAATAGCAGGATAATATCAGAGAATGGATAGACAAAACACTAAGTGAAACCGTTAGAAAGACTGAAAATTGAAATGGACACTAACGATAAAACTGGTTGAATGTTAAATAATTTCACTCAGTAAGGGATAGATGATATTCTTTTTGGTGATTATTAAGTCATTTTCATGCATTTATTATTCAGGTGAACTGGACACCAAGACTGAACAGTAAAGAGGTCCTTAAGGGGAATCTTCCTGCTATTAAGGTGCCGTTATCTGTCGCAGAGACCAAGTACTGCCAAGTCACCCTTCATGATCACTACCCTATTGAACTGGGCTTCACCATAAGGTATACATGTATACTTGCAGCTGTAGAATACACAACGAACAACTTGAATGGTTCAAATACAAACTTAAGATTTCTGGTTTCATTTTCTCTGAAACCTTGTAACCTAACACAAACTACCATAGGCCTGCAGAACAATTATAGATTTTTTAAAGTTCAGTAGCAATTTTCAATAGCAATCAAGATTTTACTGATACATGATGTAAGCAATCGATAAAAAGTGCCAGGGAGTTTATATCAGTTCTTTGTTTCTCTCACCTGTGTGTAGGCCTCAGGCAGGTGAAGCCACCCAGCTCAGGTGCAGCTGTACAGGTGACCAGGTGGTCAGATATGGGGAGAAGCTGCAGGGAGATATCCACATCGCTGTGGTAGATACACATGGCAATCCTACCAAGGTAAGGGCTGGACAACTGAAACTTTATGGTAGCCTTGTGGTTTTCTACTTAGGATCGAAAGGTTCTGGGTTCAAATCCCCGGCAAGTCCCAATGTTTTTTTTAAATATGCTGTGCCCTTTGCCTTTACACCAATGTCTGTGTAGACTCAGGGGAAAATGAGTAGTCTAAAGCACATTGATGGTAGCATATTTGAATTGAAAATGTGTTGTTTGGATTAACTGTTTCTACTGTTTCACATATCTTTCCAGCTAACACAAGGAGGTTTGAAGTACCTAAATGTGGAAGGAGAAGGATTGGACACATCTGCATGTGGAAGAGCATTGGGGGAGGTAAGAGCCTTTGAATCCTTATCACCAGGATTCAATTGGAGAGAGCTATGAGGTCTTGCTTGAGGTAAAGCGGGCGACACAAAACTTTGAAAATGGTACATTTTTTACAGTATGGGATTCATTTGGGAAAGAGTATGAAGAATTTTTCATCGCTTTGAATGTCATGTGAACAAGAGAAACAAAGATACAAACATCTAGAAGTAACATTATATGAATGTTTGCAATTTTAAATCTTGGTTTTGCCTTTCTTTTCTAGAAATCAGATCACTTTGTCCTGAAGAATGTCAGGTTCCACAGTGAAGGCCCCCTAGGTACCAAGGAGCTGTGCGTGACGTGGCACAAGCTGCAGGAGTTCGTGAGGCTTGTGCTGGTGCCGGGCCCGCCTGTCGGCATGGAGGTCATCGATTGGACAGATGAAGGGGTAGGTGGAACCTCATTTGCATATCAAAAAGTCTACAAAATGGCTGCTAACACCATTCCCTTTCTCTTTCCAAACATCTAAGCTTTCGGAGGATCTCCAGATGGTTCTTGATGTACCCAGTTAGCCTGTTGGCCTCTGTCTCCTGCCCTATGGTGAAGTGGTGAATCATCTTCTGTCTGTCCTGCTGCTGGTTGTACAGGGTGGCCAGGTAGTAGTGAGCATCAGTCACATAGACATTACACTCTGGTGCCAGCCTGAGGAAGTGCTCAAACTGTCTGATGGCTTATGTCCCAGACACTTTCTTAGACAGTCTGGCTGTGAAGTACACAGTTTCCAAATTGTCCTGTTTGTGCATAAGGGAACTCGCTGTGGCAGATAACTTGCTTTGGCTAGAGCAGTCACATCAACTGTTGGTGGGTTACTCCCCTTGAAAAGATTTTGATAGTTTTTCCAACAGTTGAACTGTCAATGCAGTGGTTTGCTTAAAATTTTGAAATTCATTGTTTGAATCATAAACCAGCCTGGTATGTTGTCTTCAGGGCTCCTATCATAGCATTTCGGGCTATCACAGAATGAATAGGCCTGTTGTTGTTGTTTTTTTGCCCTGTCGCTTCATATTTTTTATGTTGGGTAGTGGTTTAAACTGATAACATTGGTGGAATAACAGGATAATTTTCTGGGGTCATGGTTTACTATATACTGAGCTCTGCAATATTTCCTGGGCAGCTGAGTACTAATAATAGTAGGGGACGTTGAGTACAGTAAATCTTTAATTTCTTGTGATGATTTTATTTTTGTGGGGACAGGCTCTTACAATTACAGCAAAACATCCACACATTGTGTACTACTTACACAGTAATAACAAGTAACACTGGTCGCATCAATTTTGGAAAGTCACAAGGCATTTGGAAACTCAAGTAAAAATTGATTTTCAACATTCAAGTTTCACATCAGTGTGTAGCTCTTGGTGTAATGAGCACAGTGATATGAAAATTATTGTTCTGCAGTGTTCATAACTTAAGATATCATTAGTAATAAATACAAGCAGACCAGTGGTCTTTTCTAACAACCTGTCAGGCCTAACAACTAGCCCGCAAGTTTTAATTACAGGACCTTCGGTCTAAAGGCACTTAGACTACAGGTCTAGATCCCCAGACCGCGGGCTGATTTACTCAAAAACCATTCAGACCGTCAGCCTAACTTCAGCCCGCGGTCTGGAATTTCTGGTCAAAGAGGTGCAAAAAGCCCAAAACAATGGCATGGAAGGTGTGAATTGATTGATGTTTGCAGACTGTCTGTGCCAATTTCAGCCTGGTGGAGTAAGGATTCAGACCTCACGGACTACATCTTAGCCCGCGGTCTAAACCAAGTGATGTGTAAAACTTCATTCTCAGAGCAGAAAATAAGAAAGGAGAGCATAATCCACACCCATCTGTTAACAGTCTTGTACATATTTGCCACTTTCAACCTCACTCACTCACTCAATTTCACTCAGCTTCGCATGATCTTTCAACTAGGCCACAAAAAAGAAAGAAGAGCTTACAAACACGTTCTGTACCAGCTAGGGGTAGAAAATGAAACAATTTTTTCTCATGAGCATCCTGACTGTCATTGAAGTTCAGTTCAGTTCAGTTGAAACATTGGGGAAATTATGTTACAGACAGTTTTGCCGGACAAAATTCTAGTATATCAGCCTAGTATATTAAGCAAGAAGCCTTAATACATGTATTGCAACTTAAACCTGCTTTCAAAGCAATGTAGTTATAAAATCCTCAGTCCATTTCTGTTCAACCATGGTTCAACAGTTCTCAGGTAATTATTCTGATCAAGGAACAATTGTTATGCGGGATGAAACTAAGTCTAGCTATTGTTCTTGACATGCAAATGCCACTGTCCAATTATCAAGTTGGACTATTGTTGAGTTACACGTCGAATTACAGTACCCCTATCTACTCTCCCAGCAGAGGTTTGGGTTTTGGGGGTATAAAACACGCTAAAAATACCCCCAAAACCCAAACCTCTACTTGAGAGTAACCCCTACATGTATCTGGGCAGCTTGTACTGGGTCACCCAGTAGGAGCCTGAAAAGATGTCCGACTATCTTAAAAAATAAAACTAGGATTCTCATCATTAATTTCTTGTCAATAATCTAAATCTAATCTAATCTAATCATAAATACTAAAAAACTACTAGTAGTTGTGGGATAGAAAGATTTGGCCAAGACATGGTTCCGTGTGAACCCACTGCCATCTGACACTGTCATTCAATGTCATGAGATTTTCTGATAGGATATTTTTTCGGGCTATTGAGCTACCCAGTGCAAGCTACAAAGACCATGTCACCCATGTCAGGGTAGCCCGACCAGACTCTCTAATTTGATAATTGGACAGGTATGAATGATAACATGCATGGAAATTCATTTTGAAAATTTTCTTCCTGCAGGAAATTTCTGGAAAAACCTACTAAGACATTGTAGATTCCTGCAGATAGAATCCTTCCTAGAAATCTCGCAGGAATTTTTGCAGGAATGACTGTATAATAAATATATACAACTGTTAGGCCACACCAATATAATGTAGTCTCCACCAGACTCCTTTGCAGGCTGAATAAATAGTAGCAATCGGCTAAGGGGAACATCATTGGCCAGAGGAGTTGGCCGGCCATAGAGACTAAATATAATGCCATTACTTGTTCCTCAGACTCATTCACTTGAAGAAGAATCCTGTTCTATAAAATTGCAACATTACATCAATATTCTCTCAAGGTCACCTTAGTAATTGATCAATGATCATCTGATTTTTTGTATGTCAACTCAATGAATGTTTTGCTGCTTCCCCTTTCTCCAGTTGTAAACACGTCTAACATTGATCAGAATCTGACTGGAGACTAACTTCAAGTTGTTGCTTGGAAGTTAGAACTTGTTAATTTTATCATAATCACCTCCCCTCCCCTTTTGTCACCCATTTTTAAAGAAACTGACAGTGTGTTCTTTGTGTCTAGGGGATAACAAGCCTTCACAATGTAATTCATAGGCTTATTGAGGGATGTCTATTATCACTCTATGGTGACATTTCCTTGGGCAAATGTTGGCCCTCCAGGAGCCAAGGAGCTAGCCTGGCAGCAGTCTGGTACCCATGTAACAGTGGGGGGTTTATAGGCGCTACAGCTCACCCCTGTTTCTTACACCCAGGCTACCTACCAGGCATGTACATCCTGCGCTGTACAAGCATTTTACGTTCTGTTCCTAAATTTTTGGGAAATATTCAAACTGAATGAACAGCTCTTTTCATATCTATTTGAGATGTTTCACAAATATTGTAACAATTAGAAAATTTTCTATTTTTTTAATTATACTTTTGAAATTATCTAGAAACATGGTGTTTTTTTTATTTCGAAATGGTTACAATTTGTAATGTGGAATATAGCAATATAGAATTGACTCTAGGCCTTGGGCAAGCACTTCCAATTAATTGTAATTTAGACCAAGGACATTATACACAGTGTGTATAATGTCCTTGTTTAGACTTATTACAAATCCTGTAAAGATTCTCATCATTAATTTTTTGTTAATAATCTAAATCTAATCTAATCATCATAATGATACTACAAACTAGTTGTGGGATAGAAAGATTTGGCCAAGACATGGTTCTCACAGTGTGAACCCAGGCCATCTGACACTGTCATTCAATGTCATGAGATTTTCTGATAGGATATTTTTTCGGGCTATTGAGCTACCCAGTGCAAGCTACAAAGACCATGTCACCCGTGTCAGGGTAGCCCGACCAGACTCTCTAATTTGATAATTGGACAGTGGTCATTTGCATGCCTGGAACAATAGGTGACCTGAGGTATGACCCGCATAACAACAGGTGCACTGGAACAGAATAATTACAAAAGAAAATGTAACAATAATTTCCTAAAGCATTGTATTTGTACAACTCCTTGCACTGAAAGCAAGTTCATGTTGCAAATTGAGGATCCTTGCTTTTTATGTTTTCAGTGTACATCGGCTGAGACTTATACATGGCAGGATTATGGCACTAAAACTCCAAATATTTTCCTTTTAATTATAAATGTTTCCATGGAGTTATTGTTTATCTGTTAACCGTGTCCATTCATCTTGTTTTGTTGTGACCTGTACTTAGCCAAGTGTGGCAGAAATGTGAAATGAAGGTCTTCATTCTTAAAAAAAAAAAAAATTTCTTACCCCACTGATGTTTCATTCAAAGGGATTTTGGCAGGGGAGTTGCCATAGTAGGACAGATTGGACTATACCTGCCAAACTGAAACTGTAAGTGACCATAAAGTGTCCTCAAAAGTTGGCTTCCAACACCACAACCAATCAGGTCTAATATGAAGTGTTCTTGCTGAGACAAGGGTCTTTTATGATGCTATCTTTTTAGCAATGTTTACACCCCGCCCAGGTATCAGCCCAGGGAGCACAACAGGAGCCAAATCCACCTCCTCAAACAGAAAATTTTCAAAATGAATATTCATGAAACTAATTGAAAGTTATCATGATCATTCATACCAGTACATCATACTTGTCAATAATATGCAATCACTTATTTTAAATGCTTTGATATTGAAAATATTAGCTGAAAATGTGAAGGGCGTTTATTAATATGAAGTGACAAACTATGTGTAAACTATCATCAATCTGGGAGCATATTTTTGTTTCTCACTTTCTGTTTGGTGTTTAAAGTCTGAAGGTCCTCTATCATAAGGCCTAATCATCAGCCCAGCCTGTCCACAGACCAACAGGCCTGTTCAGGCCCGCGGGCTAACCATTGAGCCCAGACCTCTCATGAATTTATCACAAACTTGTTAATTACACAGGTGTGAAAATGTGAATTCTCATTAATTCAGTGGTTTTCATGGGGTGTTCATGAGGCTAATTGGATGCGGTCTGGATGCGGGCTGGCTGACTCAGACCGCGGGCTAAAGTTTAGGACTGCCAGGCTAAGCTGCTGGGCATGACGGTGTGTGTTCTAGACCACCAGGCTTGCAATTTTTAAAGTCAAATATCTTGATAAATTTATACATTATGACCATAAAAAAGCAACCTGGTACTGAAGATAGCATGATCTTTCCAATGGTATGCAAAAGTTCACTGTACATCCAGGAATAACAAAGTTGAAAATCAGGGGTTTCAACATAGCTGTCTCGAAATTCGGAAAGTGACATTCCAAAATTGAGGTGACCAGTGTTAAGTACAGTATGTACATGTCCTGTATACATTTGTACTGTAGAAAGTTTTATCCACGCATAAGCTTATCAAAGTTGAAAAAAGTCACTCTTTTTCACTCTTTCACATTAAGCCCACACTTGCTTACGAACAAAACAATAGTTATATTATTCAGTAACCTACATAAATACATTTCAAGAAAAGTCAAAAGGTGTATATTTAAGGCAACACACAAATCCTGGAAATAGTCACACTACTACTCCATATGGGAATACAGATATTTTATACTGAATACATGTATACAATATGGCATGTTTATATCAGACACTGTACTAAGACATGTGTTTTATCACCATCATGAAATTAATATCGTACTTCAGCTGAATGCCAAATCATTAATTTATTGAACTTATTGAAGCAAACTACTGACAGAATGAAACTGTTGATAGATTACCTGAAATAGATCATGAAATATATGTACTGAAAACTCACAACTCACATTCAATCAAATATACATTGTGCTTGTTAACACAGCATTCGATAATGGAATTTTGCTTAAAATAGAATTACCGGTATACGTACAAGGTAATAGTTTTAAAGACAGTTTTTCAACACAGTGCACTTGATCTTGTGTGGTTAGCTACATGTATGTGCCTCCCATAGATTTTACTTGTTTGCTTGTTTCTTTGCCATGACTTGTTCATATGCCTTTGTAGCAGGGTCTTTGATGAATCCTGGGACTTCACTAAACCCAGTTAGCCTGTTGGCCTCTGTCTCCTGCCCCCTGGTGAAGTGGTGAATAACCTTCTTTCTTTCCTGCTGCTGGTTGTACAGGGTGGCCAGGTAGTAGTGAGCATAGGGCACGTGGCCATCCCACTCTGGTGCCAGCCTGAGGAAGTGTTCAAACTGTCTGATGGCTTCTGTCTCAGACACTTCCTTAGACAGTGTAGCTGTAAAGTACACAGTGTTCAAATTGTCCTGTTTGTACATAAGAGAACTATCCATGGCAGACAGTGCTTTGGCTACAGCAGGCAGGTCACTCCCCTTGAAAAGTTCTGTTGTCATCATTGCCTGAGGGCTTGACTTCCATATGCCCCACCCCAGGTAGCAGTAGATGTGGTGCAGGTGTTGGTACAGCCAGTCTCCTGGTCCGTGCTGTAGGATGGCATCAACCACCTGCTGCAAGGTCTGCACCCGGCTGTCTCCATGTGGCAGCTGTAGGGCTGACAGCAGCAGACAGGTGCTGTCAGTGGGGTCAGCTTGTAGCTGGGAGGTCATCAGGTGCTTCAGCTTGGCTTTGTTCAGGTTCAGCCATGACTGTACATACAGTACTGTAGTTGTGAAATCTGGTAATGCCATGTCACGCAGCATGAATCCCTGCACCAGTGCCTTGACTCCCCGTAGGTCTTTATACCTACTGCTTGTCAGGATTTCTGCTCCTTCCTCCCAGGACCTGTAGGCCTTGATGCGACGTTGTGCTGTTGGTGAGTCCTTGTGCTTCTGTAGCCTGGCTCTTGCCCACTTGAGCGGCCCCTCTTCCACCTCTCCAGCTGTAGTGATGGACATGGCTGCTACAGAGGACACGTCTTCAGGCAGGCCTGAGTCGCCCTCTGAAGTCACACTGGGTGGTACGGACTGCAAATAGAGGGGGTAGTTTAAGCAATTAACTTTCTTCACACCTAGGGTAAAATGTTTCACCAGTTTTATTTACTGAATGACTACTAGTAATTTTATAAGGATAACTTCCCCCAAATACTCTATCGAATAATCATCCAGTTTAGCAAGGGTTTTCCCAAATTACCCTACCCCTCACCCCTTCTCGGCTTAGTGGCCCCTCTTCCATCTCTTCAGCTGAATTGATGGACATGGCTTTTACAGAGGACCCGCCTAGGCCTGAGGTGTCATCACTTGGTGGTACAGACTGGAAAGGGAAAGAAATAGAATTAAATACAGTAATTTGTTTTGGATTGAAAGTTATCTGGATTTGTTTTCTAGATATATTATATTAAGATCTAGACAATTAACAAAAGTTAATTGACATGCACAAATTTCTTTCACAGATGCTTTTCTCACAAATATACCAGAGAATAAGGAAGGTACGAGTTAAGATATACACTAGTAGACTGCACTAATGTATTGCAACATTATGCAAACAAGTATTTTTGGAATAAGTAGTTGTCACTTAAAAAATGTGTGGCAGATATGCCTTTTGTATTAACAAAACTCCTAAAACCATTTTTATGATAGCCGTCATCCTACATGATTGAATTGTTCATACCTGCTTCTTCATCCCTGCCAACTCCAATGTCCCTGCTGCTAATTGTTCATCTCCTTCTTCCTGTCCCTCCTCATCAGCATACCATGGCCACCACCCCTCCAGCCCCACTTGGATGGGTCTGGTCCAGCCGATCTTCTTTAGCTCGTCCTCCAGCAAAAGCTGCAGACAGGTGTAGTCGGTCCCCTGGTGGATCTTCTCATTCAGTTTACGAAGGACCCAGTAGCCAGCCTGGCCGGGAAACAATTAGAAAAGAAAGCACAATTAGTATATTGCTTCTCCTTTGTTCATTTTGATGGAAATGTCTTGTTTACAGAAGATCAAAGGTTTGCCTATAGCTACAGACAAATGATTTACTTTTGCAAGACTATTACTCTATGTACACTATTAAATATCCAAATTGTATCCAAAACTATACACTCATACATATATGACTTACCTGAGAGAGAAACTTCACGTGAACAAGGAGAGATCCTTCCTTAGTCTTCAACGCTTCTATGTGACCATCTTTTTCCACAGCCTTGCAGATGGCTTTGTCCACCATTAGCCTGTTTGCCACCCAAAAAGCTGCCAGGCTCATGGCCCCTGCTGCTATCGCTGTACCCAGAACGATCACTGGTGACTGGGTGACTTGGCTGGCAACGTGAGACGCTCCAACTGTTACCCCTCCAACGATTGTCGCAGCTGCCAGACCTTTGTCCTGGATCCGGATAGTTACTCCACCAAACCCTCCCTCCTTCTTTCTTTCCAGCACTGTAGCTTGTAAAGCAGCTGGTTGGCTGGCTTGTTGGGTAGTTGTGAGAACGTCTTGTTGTTGTTGCCCTGTAGCCGGTCCTTCTTGGCCTTGGGAGACTTGTATGGGACCAGTTTGTGGATGAATTGCCACAGCTCCTGGTTGTAGAAACGAGGGGCTTTGTTCTGGCTGACGAATACCGAATGTAAAGCCTGCAGCTGGTTCCTGCACACTTGCACTTCCCTCAGCTGACCCCTGGCCCCCCTCCCCCTCTAACTGTTGTCCCATCTGCACCTGTTTAGGCTGTGTCTCTTGTCCCTGATCTGCCATTTCTGGCCATTTTTGTGCCTCTCCACCTTCCTCAGCACCCCTAGGACTTGATCCTTTATCAGCCATTCTGTGGATGAGCAAATAGGCAAGATTATCAACTGAAAACCAATCCTGTTTCCTTGTCTAACTCACTTGCAAATTGTCGTAACAAGATTAGCATGAAACACCATTCAACCTTGACCTTACAACCTTTGATACAAGTCTTCAATACAGAATGAATATGATGTGGTCTATATATGGGTTTTTAGTGTAATGGTACTGTTTATTTAAAGAGCTTTTGAAGAAAAAAACATTTAAAAAACAGTGACTTACCTGTCCTGTTTACTCCTTGGACATTCGTCGCCCCCCAGTGAGCCGTGTACTTCTATTACACCGTGTACTTCTATTATTACCTCACAGACTGCAGCAGCCCAGCCTCAGGTTGCCAGACAACAATAAGATCATGTATTAGCACACAAGGGAAATGTTTTCAAAGCAACTTACCCAGGGCCTGTCCATTGTCAAGACTGTGCACGTAAATTTGACAAAGGGTTCAATACTAGAAAATTACTGTGGCACCATTACCAACAGCACACCTAGCCTGCTGCAAGACATACATGTGTAGTATGAAATGTAATCTAATAGTAACTAAATTTCTAACTGAAATCTAACTTAAATGTATTTTTAAACCTTCTATTAAGACTTAAGTGAGTACCCTTATCTAATGAAAGGGGCTTTGTGCAGGAACATTAAGGGTCTTGTGTCATTTTTATGCACACACAGGTATCACTTATAATAAGTTAACTGACCTTGCAATTAGCAAGGATACATGTTTCTTCTAACTTTCAGCTGAAAGTAAAACATTTTACTTTTATCATTCATTCCTCTGGAGGTCAAAATATGAATTATGTTATCAATGAAAACAAGAAAAAAAGATGGTTGAATGTCCATTCTTTAAGGATAGGGAAAATTGTTGTTGAACATTGATAGCCAGCCACACACATTACAACTACATTGTACATAGTTACCTGTATAATGACTTTGTATATATATATATATGATATCAATATGTTGCTTGAACTGTAAGAACTACAAATTGAATGTATAAATAAGTCTGAAGGTTCTGGGTTCGAGGCCCTAATGTTGTGTCCTTGGGAAAGGTACTTTACACCTATATCTTACAGATTGGCAAAAATAAAATGACTTTAGAAACGTATTAAACATTGCCATATAGTAATTTAAGTTCACTTCATGTGTCAGTTTCTTTGCTTAGTATACATTAGTCATGGTTTTCTAGTAAGTGTGAGTAGTACATAGCTTCACATAGGGACGCCCTCTTACATGTAGATGTGACATTAAAGCCAGAGTTCCTGTGTTTGAGAAGAGCCAAATTTCAAGCATGTTAAACCTACATGGACCACCATACTTACTGAAACAAGTCCTTCCCAATGTGAGTGTGTACTGTGTTGTACTTGCTTCAGCCCTTGATGGTGTACAACGGGACCCAGTTTGACAAGCCCCTAGTGGTTCAGCTGGTGGACGCTGCTGGAAACCCCTCACAGGAGTCAGGGGTGGAGGTACAGCTGGACAGGGACAGGGGACTGGAGGTCAGTTTTATGTCATGTGTAGTAGTAGTAGAAGTAGTAGAAGACTAGTTGTAGTAGTTGTAGTTACTGTAGTAGTAGTTAGTAGTAGTAGTAGTAGTAAATTCTAGTAGTACATTGTAGTAGCAGCAGCAGTAGTGGTAGCAGTAGTTAGTAGAAGTTGTAGTAGTAGTAGTTAGTAGAAGTAGTAGCACTAGTAGTACTAGTAGTAGTAGTTAGAAGTAGTAGTAGTAGCAGTTGTAGTAGTAGTAGTTACAACTGCACAGTATAGTAGTAGTTCATGTAGTAGCAGTAGCAGTAGCAAGTCGTACTAGCATTGCTAGTAGAAGTTACTAACAGTTACAGTTACTGTAGTAGTAGTAGTAGTTGTGGTAGTAGTTAGTAGTATTAATAATAATAATACATGTAGTAGTAGTGGTAGTAGTAGTAATAGTAATAGGCTGGTTTGATTTAAATAGTGTGCTTCCCATTCTATATCAGTGATGTTTTGCCCTTCCAGCTGACACCAGCACCCAAGTGTATGAAGACTGATGCCAGCGGCCGAGCTAACTTTGGCATCCTGACTGCCTCGGGAAAAAAGTAGGTTGTGAGATCATACAAAGTGCAAATTTAGCTAAAAAGATAAGAAAGCAAAAGCATAATGTTGACATTCACATGGGGATAGTCTAGCTCAACAAACTACTGCTCTGTTGATTCTTACTCACATCATTATATATATATATATATATATATGCCCAGTGTTTTAACTCTGTTCAACTACTTTCTACATAATGTAAACCAACACAAAAGGGTGTCTACTACATCATCAGTAAGTGTTACCATGGTGACAGCCATTAGGTCCAGGTCATTGACCTTTTTTGTTTGAAGAAGAAGGAAGTGAGCAAAAAATAATATGCTTTCCTTTTGTGAAGGCAAACATAATGATAGAACTGTCCTATTTTGTGCAGAGGTGACTATGAGTTGAGACCAAAAGCCCAGATTGGGAAGAAAACCATTGAAGGACCACCGTTGACTGTGATGATTGTGCCTGACCCCACTAAACCTGTTGCTGTGAACGTAGAGTACAACAGGAATGCTGTGTACATCGCTGGAGACAAGCTAACAGGTAAATGGTCACTATTCATGCTTGCGACTAGTGTAAAAAAAAAAGGCATGCTAAGTTCCCAAAGTTGTCAGGAAATGCAAGAATGACTGGAATACAATTATGTTGTTCCATGTAGGGGTACATAGTTTGTCTTCTTACAGACTTGTATATTAAGTTCTTCAGAGTTTGTAGTGTACAATGACAACTGAAGACAGTTTATACACGTGTATGTCCTTGGTGCTGATTGGACACTCATTGACACTGAATGGTGGATACTGGGTTCTGTCCTTGGTGCTGATTGGTCAAAATGAGGCGCACTCCCTGACACTGATTGGTGGATACTGGGTTCTGTCCTTGGTGCTGATTGGACAAAATCAGGCACTCTTCTTGACACTGATTGATGGATACCTGTTTCTGTCCTTGGTGCTGATTGGTCAAGATCAAGCTCTTCTTAACAATTATTGGTGGAAAGTGGTTGTGTTCTTGGTGCTGATTGGTCAAGCTTGAGTAGTCTTCTTGACACTGATTGGTAAATGGTGGTGGGGTCCTTTGTACTGATTGGTTAAAACTGTTATACTGAGTGTCTCTTTAGAAAATGAGAGTGTGATTACAGAAGTTATGTCATGATGAAGGTTATTTGTGTTTTGATGTCAGTGTTTTTGTTTGTTTATTTGTTGACAGAGTTTGTAGTGAGTATCCATGCGGAGGATGAGAGTGTGATTACAGAAGTCCCCATCAGTAATGTCAGGATGAAGGTGTGGAAACAGGACGGAGCACAGCTGGTGAAGAGACCACCTCCTGTGGTATGTTACACTGTTACAGCTATCACAGTACTACATCATTACAGGGAAATCATGCATATGTGTAGATATGTAAATATTGTATGTTTGGGAATGCATCATTCTCTAGCAGCGACACCTGTGCTGCAGTGCAATGTGAACCAGTCAGAACTGCCCTGAGGAAGGTGACAGATGGTCACTGAAACGTCGGCTGAACAAAAGACTTGGTTGTGTGTTCACAGATCGGTTTACATTGGTATCTGTCCTTGGTACTGACTGCTTTCCACTGACTGCCCAGATGTAATGTCATCTGAATTGTATTTTTTTCAGGCCTTTGTGTTTGATCCTGACCCTATAAAAGATAAAGACAAGAAAGGGCATTTCTACTTCAGGTTGGTACTCTGATGTCTTCAAGTATAGCATTCTAACTTTCTAACTAACATTCTAACTGCTACTTATTTGGTGTTTTGTAGAAAATCTTTGCTTCGTTGTGCACTACCAAATTTTGGAAACTGAACTGACTTTTTTATAGGGCCATAATTGTATGACAATTTGTATTTTTTGTAAATTCATTCTTTTGTTGTTAATTTTATTGGTGTTATAATATTCTTATTTGCATAATCAACCATGTATAGCCTAGTTGTAATTTTTTACACCTTTTTCTTGTTTTGTATGTTCACAGGGACAGGAGAGTACCAGAGAAATCTGGTGTCCACAGCATAATGTTCCAGTACAATGTGTCCAGGCAGGACATTATATACAGCAACCTGGTAAGTAGTCTATGATATTCAAACTTGCCAATTTTCAGTGACTGCACAGTGATGTTCATTTGTATGTTAGTATCAAATATTTTGCCGTTTGACAGAAATTTGCCACTTATGATGGACAAAATTTTTACCCAATCTGTCATCTTTGATGGACAAAAATCGGCATGTAAAGCTATAGAAAGAGACACCTTTTAACTAAGGTAAGTCTACCAGCAAAGTTTTCCCCACAAAATGCTGGAAATAGTATTGCAGACGGTCAAGATTTCAAAATTTTGCAGTATGCCTCTGGAACCCCTATGATTTTTTTTTGTCTCCAGCACTCAATGTGATGTTACAATCAAAATTGAGATGACAGAACACTGGTTACCTGTTGTGTTGATCCTTCTACAAATGTGGTGAATCTCAATGCATAAACAGCTCTTCCATAAAACTCTTCTCCCCCCACAGATTGCCATCAATGTACAGCCAGGTGCACCTGTGAAGCTGGCACCCGAGGCTGTTCCAGGCACCCCCACCGTGTCCAACACAGCACGCTCAGCCAGCAGGACCCTCGTCAGGCAGCTGAAACTGGTCTTAAAGGTGGGTAAGACGAAGACTAACAATGTCTTCTGGTTGGAAGATTATAAGTATCTGTATACCTGTAGACGGTATAACCATTATCTGTATCTATGTAGCAAATATAACTGCTCTTCAGCATAACACACCAGCTTCTGTATTTGTATAGAAGGTATAACCGTTCTTTGGTGTAACACACCAGCTTCTGTAGTTGTATAGCCTGTATAACTGCCCTTTGGTGTAACACACTAGGTTCTGTATCTGTATAGCTGATACAACTTGAAAACGGTTGCTTGTTTTGTATCATAGGCTGGTCCTACAAAAATTAATGTACAAATGTAGCTATATCATTGGCGGTACCCAAAAATAGATGAACTCCTCGATGTAGCTTTTTTTTAGAGCTATTTCAAATATTTCAAGTATTAAATGATGACAAAAATTTCATAAGAAATGGCACTAAATGTCAATATCAGGCAGCTTTCCAGAATATTTTTTTTTTGTTTTGCCCCCCTAAAATTGCATTGGATGCCTTTAAGTTTAACTCTAGTGTCTGTCCTTGGTGCTGATTGCTTTCCATTGTATATCTATTTGTGCATTTTGCCCTCCAGGACCAGTATGATAACCCAGCAGGTGAGTATGTGAATGGAGAAGTAGTAGTGAGAGTGACAGGAGAGGAAACTCCAGAGGAGGAGGTTCCACAGATGGTGGGAGGGAACAAGGAGATGACTGTCAAGCTGAACAGGGGCGTCGCTATTGTTCAGGTAGCTCTCTTTTTGTATGTGTGTGTGTTTCTCTCTCTCTCTCTCTCTCTCTCCCTGTATCTCTCTCTGGATCTCTCTCTGCATGTCTCTTCTCCCTCTCTCTGTATGTCTCTCTCTCTCCCTGTATCTGTGTGTATGTTTCTCTGTGTATCTCTCTCTCTCTCTCTGTACATGTCTCTCTCTCTCTCTGTGCATGTCTCTCTCTCTCTCTCTCTCTCTCTGTATGTCTCTCTCTCTGTATGTTTCTCTCTCTCTCCCTCTCTCAATCTTTCACTCTCTGTCTCTGTGTATGTGTAACTGTTTTTGGCATCTTATTACTTGGATGTCTAACCTTCACTGACATACTTTGGTAACGTGCATTGGCAAAATATACCTTGCTTAGATCTAAATTCTCTCTTTTTGTTTCAGAACTTCACCATACAACAGAACTCACCGGGTAAAGATGGCAAGCAGTACTTTCTGCAGTGCTCGCCCAAGAGTGAACAGATATCCAGGACCAAGCCCATTCCCCCTTTCAAACTCTCCTTCATGTTTTACAATGGTAGGTTCACACAGGATATACAATTTGCACATACATGTATAGGGAGAGAGATACCAACTTTATGGATAAAGATATTCACTGTCTCCTGTACATGTATATAAAGTCCTCCGCACAACCATTCATTTTGCATGGTCACTTATGGCAGCACCTATCTCTGTCTCTGTAGCCCTTGGGCCACACAGTTGTACAATCACTACAGCAGGGGGCTAGGGGGATACTCTTTCCAAACACTTAGTTTTGATCGCTTATTTGTTATACATAGGAATATATATTAAAGACTGTATATTAGATATTAGAAATTCCTCCAATGATTTTGATGGTTCATATCTATCCCATACTAGCCACCCACTCTTGTATTAGTTAGGTTGAAAGTGTAGTTAATATGTACTAGTAGATGCCATACGTTGTACCCTGTACAATTGCAGCAATAAAGTTATCTATTTGTTTCCCGCCCACAGATGCCCGTAAGCAGGAGGAGATGGCGAATCTAACCCGAGAGAAAGACGCCCTCCTGCAGACCATCCGCACGTACAAACAGCTCTTCGACACAACACAGCAGCTCATCAGTGAGATGAAGAGTAAGAGTTTTTTTTGTTGATGCTCATGCATTTAATGTTAATGTAAATGTAAATGGATGTGGCGTCTGTGTGGTGTAGTGGATAGAGTGTCCGACTGTCAAGCAAGAAGACCCAGGTTCAATCCCCAGGGTTGGACTCAGACATGTCCGGACATGCACCCGGACGTTGCGCCCTTGGGAAAGGCACTTAACACACATTTCCCCTCTCAGTTAGAGGGATCCTGGGCCCTACTAGGGTTTGGGTTGGTGTTAGGAAAAGCATCCAGCTGTAAAAATTTTGCTTAAAAAAAAAAGACTTGTACTTGGTGCAAGCACGTCTAACCCCCGGTTGGGGAAAAATGAAGTTAAATTCGGTTAAAAAAAAATGCCACTTTTTTATGATTCAGTTGACGAACGTGGAATTCGACTACTTAAACTGTAGTGCAGTGGAAGAACAGTGGGTGCATCTGGTAGTACAGTCTGTTGTAGTACAGCATCTATAGATGTAAGCACCATTGTAATACATGGGCATTTGAATATCATGCTAATACATTGTAATACAGTATAGATTTTGTTCCATTACATGTACATGTTTTTACCGAGCTAAAACTTTGCTATTTTGTAAGCTTTCAAAATATAAAAGTCATGAAGTTATTAATTTTTTTCCTATCCAAAAGGTGACAAATTGTGTATGAAAGTTTTGTTTTTAATCCTTGTTCTTTGTTGTTTTGCAGACTTAATCTATACAGTAAATAAAGATAACATTTCTGTTGTTGTTCTGAACATTTTCCTGATTGTGTCTGTTTCCAGTATCTGTGCATGAGGCTAAGCAGGCAGAACAGTCCCTGAGAATGGAGCTGAGGAACCAGGCTGTACCTGCCTCCTGTCTGGAGAATGTAAGTGTGTGTTACAAAAGTCGAGGTTGGGGGCAATGTTCTAGCCATTTGACCAAAGTTTGCTGTTCATGACAGACAAAATTTTTGTCCAATCTGTCATCTTTGACAAAAATTGGTGTGTAAAGGTATAGAAAGAGATGTTGTTCATAGTCTACCCCTCAAAATGCAGGAAATTAGTGTTTTAGAGGGTCAAGATCTCAAAATTTAGAGGGTCAAGATGTCAAACTTTTCCCCTGGACTCTCCAAGAATTGTTGTACCATTGGCACTCAACATATTGTTACATCAAACAAAAGTATGATGCACACTTCCTAACTTCAAAGTGGTGAAGGTAAAATTTGTGTAGTATAGGTAATATTGAATGTTACCAGTTGAGTGCAGGTATGCAGAAAAGGCATATCAAGGCATGTATTAGTAATGACTAAGAGTTTCCTTCCTGAACAGATAGAGAAGGTGGATGAACTGCTGGGCATCAGGATGCAGGAGAGAGACCAGACCCTGAACAGTCCCCGCAGACAGTGTGGACTCAACCCTGCACCGAAAGGGGACCAGGAAATCATGGGCAAGGTGGGAGGAATGCCAAAAAACAGTTACTCAAGCAACTGGATATGATTTTGGAAACGGTCAGACGTTTCAGCTAGTATCCACTTAGTCTAGATAGGTAGGAGGAACATTTTATAATAACTAGAAGGTAACATTTGCAAAGCAAATGCATATATATAATGTTTACCTTCACATGGTCTAGCCTAAAAAATTACTGAATCAGATCTGTAACAGTTTATTCATACCTGAAAACATTCATGATATATGCCTTGACACAGTCTAACACTGTCCTGCAACTTGCTACATAATGTAATCCAACACCACCGGTGTCTGATGCACCCTGGTGACAGACATCTGGTCCAGGTCATTGACCTTAGTGTTTGGAACATAAGAAGAAAGAGATGCAGAGATAGCTTGCAAACCAGGCAGCCTACTAGCTTCTCGAATAGGCCTCACACAGAAAACATGACTTGCACAGTGAGAATGGGTAATTTGAACTTTGAGGTTTATTTTCTTTGTACAAAACTCGTTTTCTTTCTACCCAGATTGGTCACCTAGCGCTTGTGGAAGATGATGACATAGCCCGGGTGTTGTCCTGGCACATGGCCAGCGACATGGACTGTGTCGTAACCGTAACAACCGCCAAGGCCAAGCAGGTGTACGCCGGGTCGCACGGTCGTCAGCAGGTCCTGCCGCTGGACTCCATCTACAGGCGGAACCTGCCCGACTGGAACAGGTGGGTCACCCCTATACAATGTAGATGTGCTGGTGTCTCTCTATCCAGTTTAACGTCTTTTTTTCCCCGAAACTGGGGGTTAGACATGCTTATATCAAGTGCAAGACTTTTTTTTTCAAGCAAGATTTTTTACAGCTGGTTTCCTAACGCCTACCCAAACCCTAGTAGGGCCCAGGATGGCTCTAACTGAGGGGGAAAATATGTGTTAAGTGCCTTTCCCTAGGGCTCAACGTCTAGGTGCATGTCCGGACATGTCTGGGTCCAACCCTGGGGATTAAACCTTGGCAACAGCTGAACTAAGAGTAATAAATATTATGGTTAATATATTGATATGTTATTTTGAAAGAAACAGTAAAACTGTGACTTGTATTTCTTGCAGACCCCTCCCCCATCTACGAGGCGGTCGGACCAACTTTGTGACGAAGGGAAACCCTGTCTATGCACGAGACATGCTCATCTTTCCTCAGGACCCTGACAACTGCAAACTGGGTACGGTTATCACTACTTCTGGTCCTTCATATACAGTGCAGTTCTATATCAACTTCTCTTCTCAGGCATTTTACATGTGTTTATAATGTACAAAAGTCATGACATGTAAATTACATAGAAATTGCCCTTGAAAGTCGTGTAAAAGCTTTGTAACATGTGGTTAAAACTTGTGCAAATGCAGTGACTGTGAACCAGGTGGCAAACAGGCTGACAAAAACCTTTAATGATACCTTTGAATTGGTCCAATGGTTTAATCAGTAACTGTTGCTTTCTTTATTTTCCAGTGTTTGGCATGCTGCTTGGAGAGACGGTTATTTTAGACACACTAGATGATGCCAATACCTACAGACAAGAGGTAACGTTAAAATGTCATACTTAATATATACGTTTCGCAACTCAAAAAGTCTCACTCACACAAACACACGAATATGATTGAATATGATCAAATATTCAGTACTACCGGTAAGATGAAATTCCTTCTTTTTTTTCAAGACACTTAACTGCGCATGCCTTTTTTGTTTGTTCCTCAGTCCTCAGTCACAACCTGTATGGTGTTTACTAGCTTGACTAGTGAAACATTTCTTTTGTTTAAAAAGACACCATTACATGAACTGTTGCTTATTTTTGCATGTCCTTTTCTGTCCCATGTTCCAGGTTGTGAAGATCACCCATTGCCCGACCCTGCTCACCAGATCTGGAGACAGAATCAGGAGTAACGGGAAGTTTGGAGGTGTCCAGAACAAGGCCATTCCTGTGGAGAAAATGAAGGGAGCCATCTTTGGTGCCCCCCTCCCCCTGGCCTATCATGCTTTGTGTACACAGATAGGTATGATGTCAGCATTATGTGTGCATCAATGTCTGTGTTTTTTCTAAGTTTTTTTTTTAGTTTTACACAGGCCCTCCAGTTGTACTTGAATCACAAGACCGTCTTTCCACAACGTGTTGATATATAGATTGATATTTGTTTACCTTCACTGAAGGAAAACAGATTATTTTGCTCTGTTTCTTCTTCCTCTTCTTGTCTTTAAACAAATAAGGTCAATGACCTGAACCAGACATCTGTTACCATGGTAACTAGTGTTTGGTTACATTATGTTGCAATTTTATAGCAGGAGGGATTTAGACTCCTGTCTGACCATATACACAATATATGAATGTGTTTGAGTAAGATTACAGAGCAGACCATATGTGTGAAGGTAAACATTATGCATTTGCTTTGCAAATGTTACCTTAAGTTTCTAGTTCTTACTTCTTTCATCACATTTAGACACACTGGAGAAGTACAGAGAAGCCATGATCAAGAGAATAAATGCGGAAGATGACCTGAACTTCCAGCTGGAGACTGAGGAACTCCCTGAGAAGCAGCAGCAGAAACAGGAGCTACAGGAGGCTCAGGAACAGTTTAGGGACATCGAGAAGAGACTGGGTAATGCACCAATCACAGACCTACTTAGACTTTAATGCACCAATCAAAAACCAGATGTGAAATTTGACTGAAAACAGTGTTTCAGTTGTGCTTGGCAAAATTGATGAACAAAGGATAGGTGAAGGGAGGGTAGCAAGAATAGAGAGAACAAAAGAGATATAAGACAAAGATGTAAAAGCAAATTTTATTTTATTTTTTCTTTACAACTGGAGAAATTCCCGCCATCATACACCACAGATCACAAACACTGGAAAACCTTTGAACACAAAACAATGAACTTTTGCCAAATTGAGGTATTCTCTGTATTTTACAAAAGTCTTCCTCTTCATTTATTTACATAAACATCACATATATATGATGGACACTGAAACGATATTACCCATCCATAGATAATACAGGATAAAATTCAACATTTCATAAGAATTTTCTACTTTTTTCCGCAGGACTGACACCCACAAACTTTGGCAGTCCGGTGCCGTCTACAGAAAGGAGGACCAGAGGATCTAACAACGTCCGCAGTCAGCCCCCTCCGCCTTACGAAAACGAGTCGCCGCCAAAGCGACTTCGCTCGAGAGCTCGCGACTCACCCTCCAACATGAACGGTTACGGGTCAAGCTCAGGGTCAGATACGCCAACCAGGACGTCAGCAAGAAGAGCGGCAATGGCGGCCAGCGCGGCAGACACTCCAGTCATCAAGAAACAACGCAGATAATACATCGGGATACTTTGTCAGTTTTGTACAATATTTTTTTACAACAGGAAACTGACAACATTGTTTTAAGTATTTGAGATACATTTTCAGTTACATTTTTGTACTTTGTCAGTATTTGGGATGCTTTTCCATTCTTTTTCATCTGGATACTTTGTCAGTTTTGCACCAAATATTTTTACAACAGAAGGATACGTTTTCATGCTATTTGTCAATATTTGGAATCCTTTTCCATACTTTTTCAGTTACACATCAAATCATTTCACAACAGAAAACTGAAGTTTTTCGTAGTCAGCGGAGACAGGTTACAGTTACACTCTGCAAAATGCAGCGCAGAAGCAAAGTTAAAATTCGGTTGTAGATACTGGGAAAACAGTATATTCTTGTTGTACACTACATTTTCAAGGCAGCTTTTTTATATTAACTTGAATTCTGTTGTAGTTTATGTCTATGGTCTACTCCGGAAAATGCACCATAGTTTGTAACTATTCTATACATGATGGGACCTTTTTCATGTTCTGTTGTTTTCATGTTGGTTCATTCTTCATAGTTTCAAGTGGACAAGCCAAAGTGACCAATCAGACATCCTGTTCTTCTGCAATTAGCCAATCAGATCTCATCTAGGTAATATAACTTACCTGAATGTTGTTACTTTGTCCAATTGAATCATGAAAGTACAGTTGTGCTATGATTCTCCACATTTGTTTAAAGTTGTGAAATAAAAAACAACAATGCTATTTGTAAAATGGGTAACACATTTATTCTGAACATTTAACATAACCTTAACCTCCATTCTAAATACACCTAGTTCCACTACAGTTGAAGGAAATCTAACTTATTCGGGAATAGAGAAACAAAGGGAGCAAACATTGGCTCATGACATCATAACTAAACTTAGATAAAATACAGACTGATTATTAAGTTGACCCAAAGTTGACTTGTGACTGTAAACTGAAGTCATCACTATAAAACTTAAACTTAAACCCATACAATCTAATACAGTATACATTGTATAATGGTTAAAATTGGTTTGACACTTAGCATCAAAAATTTGTTGACACGATCCCTGTCAAATTCTGAAGGTTCAGACATTTTACGTTTACGTCAGCCAACCTTAGAAATTTGTTAACATTAACCCTGTCGAACCTGTTTACAGATTCAAAGGTTCAGACACTTCGTCCATGTTAAGTTTATTTACGTGTCAGCGACCCTCGGCACTGCCACCACATCAAAATCCACGGGGTTGTACGTGATGCCGAAAACACCCTTTTCCGGTGGTCGTGTAGCGCCCTCTGGCAGCTTGAAGTTGAAGTGCTGCAGCAGCAAGATGAATAACAGCAGCAGCTCCGCACGAGCCAGACGTTCTCCAAGGCATATCCTGCGTCCTAGAGCGATGCGATAAAATCAACCATTACTTTTTAGCTGTTGCAAATTTTCAGTCTCGACCAGCTTTTTCTGGATTAAAATGATAGAAAACAATTAAGGATAAACAAATGCAGTCTAAGAGCTTGTGGCAAAGTGGGCACCCCCAAGTGGAGCTAGCACTTCCTACTTGACTGCAGGCAGACCATTCTTCCAACTTGACCTTAATTCCAATCTGTGGTAACTGTGCCACCCACTCTATTGCATTCAAGTGCCTACTAGATGTATGAACACACAAGCACAAAGCAATTGCACCTACCCTATCCTAGACTTCCAACTTGACCTTAAGATCAATCAGTGGTTACCACCCACTCTACTGCATTCAAGCACCTACATGTACAAACACATATGCAAGTAGAAAGCAATGATTATAATTATACTTACCCAGAGAGAACGGGATATTTTCGGCCTTCTTCTGGAACTGTCCAGTGTTGTCCAGGAAGCGTCTGGGGTCGAACTTCTCCGGTTCGGTCCAGATGTCCGGGTCGTGGTGGACTGACCACAGGTTCACCTGCACCAACGTATCCTGTCAAAAAGTCGACCAAAGTAGAAAGATTTTGGTGCCGTACGAGTTTTAAGCAAGCTGTGACAGACCCAATGGCCGACTAGAACAGCCTTCTATAATCTTTAAGTAGATCTTTTGATGGCTGCAAAGACAGAATCACATTGGCCAGGCTCTATCCATTGGGCAGAAAGTTTCTTCAAGCCTTTTACAGCAAAAAAAGATGAATTTAGCAGGACACATTCTCAAGAATGCCTTGAGTTCACAACAGTATGTGGCTAGGCCCTTATTCATGCTTCATTTTGACATGACCATTCGAATCCAACCACTAGAAGCTGTCGAATCTGCTCACCTTTGGAATGTAGTATCCATTGAGTGTGGTGTCCCTGCTGGTAGCATGGTCCACGGTGAGAGGGGCCACTGTGGCGTACCGGAGTACCTCTTCTATGGTGGCCTCGGTGTACGGCATCTGGTCAAGAAAGTGGAAATTGTTTCATGAGCTAGTGCTTCATTGGTTTGTGCCAAGGCACCAGTTACCATGGTGACAGCCGCCTGGTCCAGGTCATTGACCTGATGTGTTTGGAGAAGAAGAAGAAGAAACTGAGCAAAAACAGTTATCTGTATGTTTTCCTTCTGCAAAGGCAAACATACACATGAATATTGTATATGTCTGTATCGGTAGTAACCGCCCTTCAGCCTAACACACCAGCTTCGCAGGCACGCGGCGCGGCGGCAGCAAGTTATATCACACGGAACAACCTGTTACACTCAATCTTTCTACATTTCCCACCTTTTTCCGGTCAGCCATAGTAGGAGTGCCACCCCCTCCAAGGACTTGGTCTATCTCCTCCTGAACTTTGGCCTGTATGTCCGGGTACAGGACGGAGTACAGCAGAGCCCAGCGTAGTGCGGTCGCAATGTTCTCTATACCCGCTACAAACATGTCTCTGATCACCTGGAATAGGGAACGAATGAGTGAATGAATGAAGAGTTAGGAAGAGCGCATGATACATTACAATCGTGCATCTAACTCATTAGTCCAATTCAAGTCACCAAGGTGACCAATTATTTGAGTCACACGTCATCACACACCGGGTGTATGGAAAAAACTGGGGTGCCTGTCATGCCAGGCTACCTGGCCTGTCCACCAGGCCAGGCTAGCACGTCAGGCTACTCAGATCCCCCCATTCATATCCTCACGAACCTACTCAGATCCCCCATTCATATCCTCACGAAAGATGAGGTGGACAGGCCAGGAAGCCTCGCCTGGCAGGCTTTTCCGTAAACCCCCACCCAACCAGCTATTTCCATTAAAAGCGTTTTTTTACAACATGTACTTTACCTGTACTAGCTGATCTTCGTTGACAGTAGAATTCTTGTCATCTTGATGACGTATCTCATCCAGGTATGCATCCATGAAGTCCCGGATGTTGCTGGGGTCGAATGACGTCACGTGTTCTACAAGTTGTTCCCGGATGTGATCCCTGATTTCTTGATTACACTCCAGAGTTTGGTTAAACTCCGTGTTGAGACCCGGGACCCACTTGGTCCACGGGTAGTGATTGGGCAGCATGGAAAGGCGGGAAAATTTGAAATTCAAAGCGACGTTGGCGATGAACCGTTGAAAGCCCGGATGGTCGTACTCGTACCTTGTACCACACAGCATGGTGGATATGATGTTAGAAACGGCCGTTTGGATTATCTTGGTCATGTTAAACGGTTTGCCGTCTTTCTTAAGGATTTCTTGTACCAGGCACTTGCCTTCTGCAGCGATCTTCTGGTCCAAGACGGGCTTGTCGACTCCGATTTCTCGCATTTTCAGCAGAGTGAGCTTTCTGTGTTGCTTCCAGAAGGGACTATACGGTACGTGGATGACACCTGGGTAAGACAAAAAGGTACAACAAACATGTTAAAGGCAAGCAATGTAATTTCCGGGCGGCAAAACTGGACTTTCAAAGTCAACCCTATTCCTTAGCATACTGATGAAGCAAAAATGCGAATAGCTGACAGAAAACGGTTGCTTGTTTCGTATATTAGGCTTTAGTCGTCTAGCTATTTATTGGTGGAACCAAAGAAGGCTTGTTTTTTGACTAAATTGCAAACGCTGCAAGTATGAAGTGACGGTCGCTATCGTGTTGGACAAGTGGTCGGCTTAGGCAAGTCTCTTAATGCTTACGTCTATGGGGAGCAAGAGCGGTCGTTATGGTCAGACGGCCGGCTTATAAAGGGGTAGCAAGTTTGACTACTAGTATATTACCTTTCTTCTGTGAGTTCTGTGCTGTGATGGGCATGTAGGGTCTGCTGGAGAAGTCCTCGGCTTGTTTGACCAGGGCCTGCTGAATGGTCCTGTACCCGTTGAGAACCACCACCGCCCGACTGCCGACGTGGTACATAAAGACATCCCCATACTGCCGGGCCCAGGTCATCAGCAACATAGGCTCATCCTGGAGTATACGGTGGAACAGGGTGGTTAAAAGATTTAGCACGGTAATTTGGACACGATTATGGATCACGATTATGATTTTGACATTTTGGTTTGTATATTTCTGTTCAGCCGTTTATATATGTTGTATCGTTTGTTAACTTTTCAGTTATACTGATTTTCAGTTGTACTGATCTCTGTTAACTTTTCTCAGTTATGTTACTTTATTGTATAATTTACTTTTATACAAATTGCTTTATGTTGTGTTTATGTTATGTTATATTGTTTATGTGTCCCTAGGCCCTTTTGGAAATCAACAATTTTACTGTTATAAAGGCTACCTAGGTGTTTATAAGATGAAGTAAATAAATAAATAACTGCTCTTGGTGGCAAATATGCTTATATTGACACATTGGCGCACCAAATCCGTAGTGTGTTTTTGGCACACAGTTAGACAAATTAGCCTAAGAGGCTCGGAGGGCGTCACTCCACCGTACAGGTAGGGAAGTTGTGTAAACTGCCTTTCCCAAGGACACAACGTCGGGCCACGGTTCTGAGTCCAACGCTCTAACCGTTACTCCACCGACGCCACAGGGTGGTTACAATTTTGCATAATTCAAATGTTTGAAGCAAATCTTAGTGGGAAGCAAAGTTGTAAGAAGGTAAGGTCTCGGACGTGTGACAATGACTTGATAACTTGTGAGTCTTATTCATTGGAGGTACATGTTTCTATCTTCCAAAAAATGGAGGAATATTCTACTAACTAAGGAGGCTAAATAATTATCATCTAAGCCTACTGACCTGTGTAAGACTGAGAAAGTTGCCCAGAAGGGGCCAGTTGACGGGTCCAGGCGGGAGGTGACGGGGTCTCCACAGCCAACACAGGCAGAGGAACACCGCAGCCAGCTTCAGCAAACCGCATACGTCCCACCGTGACTGGAGCAGGTCCGCAAGTAGCATCATGGTGTACAGTCTAGGGATATATAAGGGTACGTCGGTAAAGGTTAGACATCCAGGTAAAAAGATACGCCAACCTGATGAAACTATTCACGGATGAGAAGAAAAGAATTCCTTACCTGCGTTACGTGTAGTCTGAATCTCCCACAACTTCAGCATCCAATTAAAACTGAGGTCTTTGTATGCTAATTTCTGGTGTAACCTAATATACATAATCTCCAAGCAGATCATACGGTGGAAAGGCAATATCCATTGGAGGAGAGTCCATTTGGTGGGGGTAGCGCCAGAATAGGGGGCATATATAGAATCAAAGGTAACAATCTTCCCCAGCAATTCTCTTCTTGGGGAGTACAAATCAATGTTGTTGTACATGTACCTCATGCTGCGAGGCTGATTAATAAAACTGTAACACTCCCACCGGGTGGCCTCAGTGTTGAGCTGGGCGGGTGGAAATTGATAGAACCCCCGAGAGACTGGGAACCAGGCTACGGAGCGACCTGTCACCTTTGCACGTGTATCTAGTGAGGATACTGGTTCAAGATGTCGGAAAAGAAGCCTTTCCGCCCGCCTATGGACCACGAGGAGTTCCGCAGGATCGGGAAAGAGACCGTGGACTACATCGCGGACTACCTGGAGACCGTGCAGACCCGGCCCGTCTACCCGGGAGTCCAGCCGGGGTACCTCCGCCGGCTCATCCCGGGCGAGGCGCCGCAGGACCCCGAGGCTTGGGAGGACGTGTTCGCCGATGTGGAGAGGGTCATCATGCCAGGGGTAAGTACTAGTAGCCATTTTTTAAAATTTACTTCATGATTCACCACAAAATAAGGCTCATGAGAGCCACTCAAATGTTTTGGGTTGAACCAGCTGCAAAGAGTAGAAACAGCCAGTGAGGACAGATGTGTGTTGACCTATTCCAAACCCTTCGAAGGTCTCAATAAATGTCAATATCAGTTTACCTCATCCAGAATGTTTTGTTTTGTCACCTGAAATTTCATTGGATCATGGAGGTAAAAAAAATCACACCTCCATGATTGGATTAATTAAATCATTCAAAACACTTTGATGCTGTAATAATAATCACAGACAGGAAATCTCTTTAACACTAATGATTAGAGACCGTTGTTCTGGCAGCTTACTAGTGCCTTTCAGCGGAATCGCAACGTTACCCGCTATGAGGCCCGAAACGTTGCGGTTAACTTTCTAAGATCTAACATCCAGGCATTTGATCAACAGTCAACTGATAGTCCCACAAAGAAAATTCAAGAATATAAAATTTAAAGGACAGCTATTGTATAAATCGGTTGGTTTTAAGATCCAAACTCATTTTCACGACGATATCAACAGTCAAAGAGTGCCAAAGTTCTTACCTCTTTTCGCGCAAACTGTGTCCTGAAGTGAAGAAGTCGCTCTGGGCCTCTCTTAAGCTGTAAAGTCGCTCAAAGAAAAATCTTTTCGTAGAAACCGACTTTATAGTTGAGGCTCGTGAGTAAACCGGATAACAAGGTGTAAAATTCTGCTGAGTCATGTTGAAGAGACGTGATGTTATTTTAAAGAAACTTGACCCAAGGTTGTTTACTTCTCAGCACTGATGATTCTCTGCGGGATCCACCAAACTTGGCTAGAAATACTACATTTAGTAGAAAATAGACGACATATGGTAATAAGTATTGCAGATACATACCCGATGACTATTTAATTGCAAATAGATGTGACTTGAAAATAATTAAGACGAATACAATAAACAGTATTCAAAAGCTATAAGCAACTATACGATCAGCAAAAAAGGTTTTCTTAACTTTTTTTAGGTCGCGTTCACTAAGTTGGTTATTCTACAGTATATAGTTGAGATGTACATGTTCCATGGCACGTATCAGCACACGTAGAAGCTTAAAACAGCTGGAAAGATTTAGACGAATTCTGCTTTCTCATGCTGAAGTCAACGTCCGTTCAGATACCTCCTTATACATCTAATAGGAGGTCGGTGACTTTTGTACTGCTGTCGTTATATATTGTATAGTACTGCGTTGAGTTTGAACATCTGGAAAGGATGAGAAGTTCTGTTTTCTTGTACGGAAGCCAACGACAACGTCCGATCAGACGTTGACCCCCAGTACGAAGTGTTTCATACCTATAGTAGGTCGTTGACTTCGGTCGTTACATGATTCAAGATCACTTTATTGAACATTGCAGTGGGAACAATGAATTACGTCCAATTTATATTACAAAGTTTAAAAACAATACACTACAAACAAATGGTATTTCACATACTAGTAATAAGATATATTAGACAATTTACAAATATTGCAATCTGGCGCAACACCTTTTAGGAACAAACACTGTAGTGAATATTCGACTGTTAACAAGAAATTACATATATCTACATATGATGTGTTGAAATATTGTTAAGGATTGTTGAGTAAACTGCACATGTACGGTACAGGAGAGTTTCTGTATCTGTTGGTTCTTGTTATAGGGTTGGGCAGTTTGTGGCTGTTTCCACGGCCAGTGATATGTAGGTGGAAGCCAGTCTCTGTATTTAGAGCTTAGCAGAGTCCTGGCGAATTTCCATATGTATTTTATTAAGTACTGTAAAACGAGTTGAGATTGAAAACAGCTGGAAAGGCTAAAAGTCATATCTTGCCAGTTTCTTAAACTGAAGCGACCACCGGCCAATGCCAAGGACGCTGTCCTCTGGAAGGATGTATTTTTCTGTCCAGTTGCCAGCGTCGGAAAAGACCAAGGACAACGCTAAGATGTAGCCTGGGTGCCAGTCTGTTTGCAGGGCCTACACGGGCCTGTTCCTCCGCTTATGAGGGACTGATCCTGAAAACAGTCTGTCATCTAGACTTGTACCAAATGGATTAACCAACCTAACATTATTGGCATTGTCGACGTGCTGTTTGTCGACGAAGTTGGTACTGATCTGGACTGTTGTCGGTCATGTCACTGCAATAAGATATCGCAAGGTAGCGCTGTTGCACTACTACTACCAAGTTGATCCTTTAACGCCGTTCAGTCGTTTCCTCCACTGATTCAGGACGTCCGTGCCTATCTAGTCTTATGCCTGAATGGGTTAGGGTAAGATCAGGCACAATTCTGGATAGTCTCAGGGTAACAAAGACCATGAATTTGCCCCAGACACGGTTCAGAATATGTGTGTAACGTTATGTAGTCCAGAACCGTGCGTGTCTGAGCATGATTCTGTATAAAGTTCTGTATACAACACCTCTCCTTCATCAGGTGACCCACTGGCACAGCCCGGATTTCCACGCGTACTTCGCCCCAGGCAACTCCTACCCGTCACAGCTAGGCGATATGCTGTGTAACGCGCTGGGATGTGTGGGCTTCTCATGGGTAAGGCTATTCCTTTGTTTGTTTTGTCCCTGGTATTTGTATTCTATTTCTGTCAAGCACATTTCTCTGCAACAGTTTTTAGATCAGAAACCCAGATTTTTCATGGTTGGATGCTTTGATCATTTTAATGTTCTTCAAATTTACTGAACATTTTTGACAACAGATTTGACAACAGGGAAGCACAGTCAGGGACAGAGAAACACAGTCAGAACCAAGGTCAGGACAGGGAAACACAGTCAGCACCAGGGGCAGGGAAACACAGTCAGCACCAGGGACAGGGAAACACAGTCAGCACCAGGGGCAGGGAAACACAGTCAGCACCAAGGACAGGGAAACACAGTCAGCACCAGGGACAGGGAAACACAGTCAGCACCAGGGACAGGGAAACACAGTCAGCACCGGGACAGGGAAACACAGTCAGCACCAGGGACAGGGAAACACAGTCAGCACCAGGGACAGGGAAACACAGTCAGTACCAGGGACAGGGAAACACAGTCAGTACCAGGGACAGGGAAACACAGTCAGGGACAGGGAAACACAGTCAGCACCAGGGACAGGGAAACACAGTCAGTACCAGGGACAGGGAAACACAGTCAGCACCAAGGACAGGGAAACACAGTCAGCACCAGGGACAGGGAAACACAGTCAGCACCAAGGACAGGGAAACACAGTCAGCACCAGAGACAGGGAAACACAGTCAGCACTAAGGACAGGGAAACACAGTCAGCACCAAGGACAGGGAAACACAGTCAGCACTAAGGACAGGGAAACACAGTCAGGGACAGGGAAACACAGTCAGCACTAAGGACAGGGAAACACAGTCAGGGACAGGGACAGGGAAACACAGTCAGCACTAAGGACAGGGAAACACAGTCAGAGATAGGGAAACACAGTCAGCACTAAGGACAGGGAAACACAGTCAGGGACAGGCAAACACAGTCAGCATATATGTCTTCATGAGTTCCATATACTATTACTATAAAATAGTATTATATATCATATACTCTGTGTGGTGCTGCAGGCTGCCAGCCCGGCCTGTACCGAGTTGGAGTCGGTTGTTCTGGACTGGCTGGGGAAGATGCTGCACCTGCCAGAGCATCTGCTAGCCGGGACAGCTGGGGCAGGTGGAGGTGTCATACAGGTGAGTTACATGTACTACTGGTGACGTCCAAAATAACATCCTAATGTCAACGCAAAGGCAATACAAAATCGCCCGTATTATTACCGAATTTCTTCAGAATTTGAATTCTATGGACTGTACGATTTTATATCTATATGTAGGTCATGCTGTTACTCAACTTTATGGACACACAAGGAAACACACACACACACACAGCCATACACAAAACAATACATCATTTCTCTTTGAGATAATAACTTTGTCACTAGTTCAACTATAGCATTTTACACCAGATTTGTATAACATCCAGGGCACGGCAAGTGAAGCCATCCTAGTGGCCATGCTGTCCGCCCGAACCAAAGTCATCCGGCGGGAACAACAGGCGAGCCCAGAGTCGTGTGATCATGATGTCATGAAGAAGCTGGTGGCCTACACCTCAGATCAGGTAAATCACGGTGTTCATAGAAGTGTGACTCTGGCATATCCATTGTATATCAGCAAAATAGCCCATAACATTGTACAATACTTTTTGATGATCATGTTTTGCATATGAAAACATGGAAGGTTTACGGTCAACAGTTAACTTTATTCAAGAATAGGACTGCTTTTTTTAATAGTTGTGTTCTAAAAAGTATGTTTTTCCACTTCTAAAACCAATTTGTCTGAGACATAATGTGTACAGTCAGTAGGATAACTAGGGATCTACTGTTAAATAATGTTTAATGTTAAACTCGTTTCTGCAATGTACATGTATTTTTAGACAACAAATTGTCTAAAATACGAAAATGTACTGATGATCCATCTATGTCTTGATATAATACACCTACCTATGTAATGCTTCGATCTCCAGGCCCACTCTTGTGTAGATAAAGCTGCCATGATCGCTGCTGTGAAACTGAGGAAGCTGCCGACTGACTCAGACTTTTCCCTGAGGGGGTCGACTCTGTCTGCCGCTATCGAAGAAGACAAGGCCAACGGACTCATCCCTTTCTTTGTGAGTACTATAGCTGATATCCTGCCTAGTCTCCAAGGAAAGGTTTAGATTGTTTCTTCTTTCTGACATCTTTTTATTCGATTTTGTAAGACTTTTATTTTTTCGCCACATATTGCATGGTGAATTTTACCTACCAAAAGATCTACAGCAAGATTACTTAATGCTGAAGTGCTCATAAAACGGCTGGTATGCTTGATAAGATCTTTTCTTTACCTTTTTCGATAGAAAGCATAGACATAATCCGGAGTCCAGCCTTGCTAGGTCAGAGTTCTCTCTAAAATCCATTCACAGGGCTAGACTCCAGGTAAACCTACTCAGTACTTTTGTATATAACCACCATTTTGCATGCATAGCACACCAGCTTTCTGTAGATTTGTTACTTTCAAGCACAACATGTAGTGTACATACTGCCTTCTAACTACATCTGACATGATGATTTTAAAGACATTTTCAGGAATCTTTAGTTATACCTAAAACAACGAGCTTCTTTTTTTCCTCAGTGCTGTGCAACTCTTGGAACCACCCCGTCATGTGCCTTCGATAAGCTGTTAGAGATCGGCCCTGTCTGTGAGTTACACTCACGTTTTTAACAAAGTGACAAACCTTTAATGATAACATACGTCAAGACTGATTTTAGACATGCATGTAGCATAAAATTGACCTGTCAGTGTACTAGCATATGGAAATAAATCATGGAAACACAAGTAAACACACAGGCAGACACACTGAAAACAAAATTTCCGTATTCAAATAATACACGGAGAAACTGACTATATGTATGTAACCTATTCCCAGGTAGTAAAGAGGGCATGTGGCTCCATATTGACGCCGCGTACGCTGGAAGTGCCTTCATCTGTCCGGAGTACAGGCCGCTGTTAGATGGGGTGGAGGTATGTGTCGCAGTAACGGTTGCACTGAAGAGTGAATTTGTGGGAGAACAAAACTATAAAACATGATTGTTTATTGCTATACAATGGCTATACCACTGTAGAGAATCTGGTATGAATGAAGCTTTTGTTAAAGACAAGTTAAGCTACATTGTTGCCCTCACAAATTCAAGCTGTGTTTCCCTGTCCCTGGTGCTGACTGTGTTTCCCTGTCCCTGGTGCTGACTGTGCTTCCCTGTCCCTGGTGCTGACTGTGTTTCCCTGTCTGGTGCTGACTGTGTTTCCCTGTCCCTGGTGCTGACTGTGTTTCCCTGTCTGGTGCTGACTGTGTTTCCCTGTCCCTGGTGCTGACTGTGTTTCCCTGTCCCTGGTGCTGACTGTGTTTCCCTGTCCCTGGTGCTGACTGTGTTTCCCTGTCCCTGGTGCTGACTGTGTTTCCCTGCCCTTGGTACTGACTGTGTTTCCCTGTCCTTGGTGCTGACTGTGTTTCCCTGTCCCTGGTACTAACTGTGTTTCCCTGTCCCTGGTACTAACTGTGTTTCCTATCTTTCTGTATGTTTCATGTAGAACCTACTTTATAAAACAGAGTTATCTGTGATCAGTTTGCAGATTCTTTTAACCTGAACCCGCACAAGTGGCTGAGAGTCAACTTTGACTGTTCCACCATGTGGTAAGTAATAGATAGTGGACTTACCTATCTTCTATCACACTCGTCTGGGAGATAAATAAACATACAGAATATTACAAATCTATGCAATATTACTTCATATCACTAAGAATGCATGATTGATATAGATTAAGTATTGAGTCATTTTAGTGAATCTTGTACTGTAACAGTAACAGTACTGTATTCTTTTTGTATTGTTTTGGAATGCAACTTGGATACTTGGATACTGTTTTACTGTCTCTTCCACATTGTGGAAAAGAGATGTGTTTGCTATCTGTTACAGAGCACATCGCAATTATCCATATATAATGTATTGAACTTTTTATTCTGAACCCTCTACTGTCCTTTTCATCAGGGTGAGAAACCGTGCTGATGTTGTAGACGCGTTCAATGTGGACCCTCTGTACCTCCGGCATGATAACCAAGGTACTGGCAGTATTACGGCTTGAACACTTACGCCAGTCGGGTTCCTTATAACACAGATTCACACAGTTTGTATTATATGGAGTCTTACTCCATTGATAATGTTGAATATTCTCTGACAGGACTTAAATGATGAATTTGATTATTCTAATGTTGTTTATCTTCTCTTACATGTAAATCTGTATCTGTATAGCCGGTATAACCGCCTTTCGGCGTAACACACCAGCTAATAATATATTATAATGCTTTCACATTACAATTAATGCTTTCACATTACAATTTGTAGTTTGCAGTCAAACAAATTTTAAGTCAGTGTTTTGTGTATTGACAATACAAAAATGTATTAGATAACAAGATACTATTTCTACTTTCAGGGCTGGTGACAGACTACAGGGTAAGGATTATATATGAATTATGAGGATGAAGATATCAATAGTTGAATGTTTACTTGTATGTGTAAAAGAATTCTACTTACCTTTTGTTGTTTGCATTGCCGAAGCCTTATTGTGTCTTGGCACACCTGTTGTCATTAACTTAGTATAGAATATAGAAATGGTTGATAAAATTTCTGAAATCACTATCTTAATCCCTACAATAGTATGAAGACGGACCACAACGATTTAATATTCTGTGGATGAGAAAAACAAACGCCTTGTTTTTGCCCTTCAGCACTGGCAGATACCGCTCGGTCGGCGGTTTCGTTCTCTGAAGTTGTGGTTTGTTCTGCGCATGTTTGGAGTGAAGGGTTTACAACAATACATCAGGAAGGTAAGGATGTGACTTAAATGTCTTTGATGGAGCATATAGGCGGTAGATTAGATAGTAGGTACTAACAATGTATTCGGTTGCATTCAATAAATATTTGGTATGCCTGAGTGGTATCTGGACAATGTTAAAATATGTCGCTTTTAGTATGCCTATGGTGATGCCCTGCCAGGTTTTTAGAAAGCATTTCTGAAGTTGTTTCTCTAATTATTATATTTCATTGCAATTAATTTAATAAAACCTGGCATTCTGTAAGAAAGTTTAATTTTTAACAACTTGTACCCAGTAATCCATTCCAGTGTTCTCTGTAAATGTAACAACTTCGGTTCATAACAGAATGGCATTGTAAGATAATGCACTTTAATAGAGTCAAAGAGCGGTGGTAATGATGATGATGATGATGATGATGATGATGATGAAGAATATCTGCTGTACTATTCCACAGCATGTCAGTCTGGCGAAGGAGTTTGAATCGCTTGTTCTGAGTGACGATCGGTTTGAAGTCAGTGCAAAGGTGGTGATGGGGCTGGTGTGCTTCCGACTGAAGGTAGTTCCCTTGATTATACAAAGTTCTATGCAAATTGTGGTTCTAGTGAGCTTAGTTCAATATGATCAGTTTTAATAAATGTTGATTGTGATATGGGCATACATCGAGAATGCATTATCAAGCTATGGTATCCAAGAAATCTTGCCCACAAATTTGCAGTAGAAACCATATGTCCAACAGCTTTTAAGCATGATAATAAATTATTGTAATATGGGTATACATGGAGAATGCATTACTATTGAATCTAAAGAAACAATTCCTTGCCCACAAATTTGCATTAAAAATCATGAGTCCAAAAGCATGAGACAACAATGCAGTAGTCAAAGACTTACTATAGATATTTATTTAAACATAACACAATGTTGTCATGCAATACCTACACCAAAAGCAACCATTATAAATGCCAAATTTCAAACAATTTAGTGGTTTAATCCACTTTTAAGTACAGCAGGTACATGTTAGAAGATTTATAATTTTTTCATGACTGTTCCATTGTGGAAACAAAAGTTGTTGTTTCCCCTACAACATATAATGATGACCAATGTGTTGTTTTAGGGTTCTAACAGCCTCAGTGAAAGGCTACTACAGAAAATCAATGAGACCAGAAAGATCTTCATGGTTCCTGCCAAGCTTCGTGACACCTACGTCATCAGATTTGCGATCTGTGCAGCGACCACTGAGTCATCAGATATTGTGCACGCGTGGAACGTCATCAGAGAACAGGCGGATGGAGTACTTACTGGGATTCAAAATGGCGTCTGAGTTTTTATGTCAGTATTTTATGTTAGTAAGTTTTCAACCTTCACATATTGTCAGACTAAGCGTGAAATAACACATGTTGTAGTATTTCAAAATCACACATGAGGCCAATTTCAATTCTATTAAAGCCTTCAAAGTTAAACTAGAACACCACAAAACACACCTCAAACACTAGAAATACTGCATATTATTAAGCAAACGCAGCATATTTCACTCGAACTCCTACCCATGCAAAAATGGACTCCCCCATATCAACCTTTTGCACTAAGTTATTTACATCCACAAATGGCACCGGTACCCCCCAACATTCCCCCACTCCACCATGAAAGTCAAACATAGCACTGCAAATACATATGTCAAGTCTCTCTATAAGAATCTTGGTTTACATGGTAATGATGCATTTCATAATCATTTGAAAAAATGCTGCCCACCAAACCAGTGCATCATTATAATTAATATTACACTTATCAATACGATAATGAATAATTAGCATGCCAGGTATCTGTTACATTACACCCTTTTCTCACTAGAACCAAGCATTTCTGATAAGCAAATAACTTGACAAATAACTAGGTATCACAAAGTGGGCCGTTGTGCTAAAAAAATACGATAAACATTATTTGAAGGAATTGTTCAATAGGCGAAATACATATCGATGTCAATATGAAGACCAAAAAGAAAACATATATATCTAACAGATTCTTAAAATCTTTTTTTCTTTCTTCCTCCTTTCCTTCGCAGGTTCAGCTGCCTGTCTCTTCGCTTCCTCCTCTGCTGCCCGTTTCTCGACCGCAGCGCCTCTGTGCCTCTGCGGCCTCGCTGCGATAGCACTTGCCAGGCTTTCCCTTGTAGTTGCTCTCTCTGCTGCAGCCGTGACCTTTTGTTCCTATCGATGAAACATCAAGGAATATTGGCTTACCATTAGGGGATTGGACTATCGCTACCAAGGTTGGGCCCTAAATCAGCATGAACGGAATCGGCCAATTGTATGCTGTGTATTAAAATTTTCATTATTATTTCTAATTTGATAATAAGGCTTCACAATCGTGAAATATGTAACATTAGTAAAAACGACGATTCCACTGAGATGATAGGCATAAAATATGATAAATAAGGCCATAATCCGTATTAAAGATGTGGATTTTTCTACAACACTTTTACTTCAGTGGTCTGTCCAGTTATATGGGGTGTGGTTAAGTATCAAGGATTAATAAGGTGGAACGTGGACGGCCAAACACGTACCTCATGTCCTTGGTAAAATACAGGGTAACGGATGGATAGCGATGTGCTCGGGTCACCGTGCATAGTGACAAGAACCGTGGCTCTAGGCAGCAGCTTTCTGTCGATCAGCTGCAATATTTCCATGGACGTGAGGGGATTGAGGCGGTCGAGTCCCCCCAGAACAAACAATATGTTTTCCTGGGTCTGTTCCATGTGTTTCCACAGGGACTCTTTCGAGAAAGACGGTTTGTAGTTGGAGTTGTGCAGGAGCTGGTCAAATATGGCGCCTGTGATGGTGTCACAGTTTCGGACGTGGCCGAGTTCAAGTCTGTACAACTGCTTAAAGTTGGAGGTGACCATACTGTCGCCCACCCAGGCTGTCGCAAGTGCAGTGCCAACTTGACCATCACTGTCCTCAATCAGAATAAATCGCACAGCTGATGAGGGTATAATATGACTCCTGAGTTCTCCCACACTGTAAACGGGAACCCCTGGGCCAATGTTGGCGTGCACGTGACTTGTCCTTTGTACCACAACCCCTTTAAAGCTTGTACGGTACCGGTACCGGTACCGTTGGCCCTCCATTGCGTAAACCTCACGCAGACGAGTTTGTAACTCTGAAATAACACGAAATAATCATGATATTAATTGTTGTTTAGTTTCTTGGCGCATAATTCCCGACCAGGGCATGTATTAAACCAGTCACTAACTGATTGTATTCTTTGTAACACTCTCAAACTTGCCAAATTATACGATTAGTATGAATGTTGAGTTAAGGCACTGTCGTAAATGAAAATTGCACAACATGTTGAAATAGGAGTGACTTGCATACGACTTCATGTCCTTACCATTCGACTGAGAAGGGGTCATATCCGACGTTCTCCTTGTGACCGGTTTCGTTTTAGGTATCTCCTCCAACATGTCTGCCAAATTCTCATGACCACTCTGGCGAAGGACATCAACAAACAGGTGGGCAGAACATACACGGCTTGTAAGAACCTTGTAGAGAAGCAACTCTGTCTTGTCCTTCGACGTTTCGAGTGCCAGGATTTCCTGTCTGTCTTCTTTCGTCAGAATGCCCTCTTGGATAAGTTGCGAGCTCACTGACTTGGGACGTAGTTTTGTTACCAGTGTGACGTAGTTATCTGAAATAATCCTTTCCAGATCTGAAAGACAGGAGAAGACAGTCAGGAGCCAGTATACAGGCACGATTTACTGATTTACACAGAATTATCTGCCCTACGTTGATGCTGAGAAACCAGAGCAAGAAAATAGCCAAGGAGGAAGACATCTAGGTGTAGGCTATCGTGTTACCAGGATGATATGTACTGGAAAGGTATTTTAGTGAGAACCTCATGTAATTATGAATTTTAGCGTCTGTACACTCATTTAAACAAGTCAACAGGGCGAAACCATTTCGTGACAGACTGAAAAATGTTCTCAACGGAACTATGCGGCTTCAAATGTCATACTGTAGGTGCGGTGTGAAAGATGTCGGATAGCTTGAGAAATGAATCCACTCAACTATATTCTACGTACCTTCAGTATATACCGTATCATGCACGTGCACTTCCTCGAAGGATGACTTCCTTTTTCGTCTGGTTCCCATTCCAGTGTCAGCAGTTTGATACGATGTGATGGGGTCGTCGGACGTGCTTGTTTTCGACGTGGTTGGTTCCTGACCTATTGAAGAAAGGATGGTGCATTAATAGGAGGACATTGGGAAAATGGCAACGAAAATCCTCCTAATGCTAGGGAGGGAGATGGAGTGAAATATGCAGTATTTGCTCCCGAGCAAATTTCGTTGCCATTTATCGTTTAGTTGGATCTCTCATACCTTATATTACGCTATTTAGGGATCGCTCTGCAAAATATAATATACATTGTGTATGGATATGTCACGTTAGGAGTTTTGCTGTCTTTCGTATCTATCACTTCTTAACATGTTTTTGGGTGCACATGTGAAAATGAAAGGAGTCACTCATTTTGCAGAATGTAACGTTTGGAGTCGAAAGTAATTACGGACGCTCTTTCGTGTACCTTCAGATAATAAGGCACGCCCAGCATAACAATAGGGGTGACAGGATGCCTGCTCTGGGGTCATATGGATGGATGGCTGCACTCAGATGTTATCACATGATGGTGTTTACAGTGAAAGTAGCTTTCTGCTTGTATGAAACTGAAAGTAATCACGCCTAGTAACTACGCCGATGCAAGCTCAGTGTAGATGTATGCTCTTGTAGGCATATACAATAGGCTTTCTACGTGCATTAGAATGCTTGATATCCTGAATTTTATGTCGACATAGCGTGGTTCTGGTGTTCGTCATGTGGTTCTGCAATTGGAGTACTAGTAAATTCAGTATAAACAATACAATGCAAAATGTAATGCATTGACACGTACATTATTCCACTGATAGAAGTCCTGTTGTACGTATGGAAACACGTACCTTTAGTATCCGCAGTATCCTCGAAGGATTGCTTCCTTTTTCGTCTGGTTTCCATTCCAGTCTCAGCAGTTTTAGACGATGTGGGGTCGTCGAACGTGCTTGTTGTCGACGTGGTTGGTTTCTGACCTATTGAAGAAAGGATGGTGCATTAATAGGAAGGGAAAGGGCAACGAAAACCGCCTAATGCTAGGGAGTGATGGAGTGATATATGTTGTATTTGCTCCCGAGCAAATGTCGGCCTTTCTAGTTGTGGATCGGGATGGACTGGAGTGGGGTTGGATTAATACAACATAATGCAGTGGACCAAAACAACGTAATCTCAGAATAGCAATGGTGGCCATTGTCATGATAGATATGAATTTGTTATTAAGTGAATGCGAAGTTTAAAGCCGCAGTATGGAATTCAAGGTACCATGGTCAGGCTGGGCAAGGAGATTTTAACCTCCTCGGGCTAGGTATGTAGAGAAATTCATTGGTATAAAATAAAGTCTTGACGGCTAGATCGTAAAACAATTACGTCTTGAAGTGTATAGCTTTAAACATACCTCGAGTACCAACAGCGTCTTCATTGACAGGTGCCTCCGTTGTTACAAATTCACAAAATTCCTCCTGACCCCCAACAGGGGGCAGTCCTTCCTGTACACGCTGTTCCAGTGCCTTTCTGAGAAACTGTAGAAAGTGTACAGATGAAACGCGGTCTCTTTCTACTGGCCCGGCACAAAATTCCATCTTTTCTTCCAAACTTTCGTCCTCTTCGTCTGACCAGTTGCTTGAGAAGGAGACCCCTGTGTCTAAGTAGATACAGTTGTCCACTTCTTGCCTGAACTGTTCCAGTGTTGACTCCCAGTCGCCTGGTCCGATCAGCGTCAGGTAGTCTTTCACAGTCGGCGGGAGTGTTTCCGGTAGTCCCGTCAGTCTCTCTCCTTCCCACGTGCACTTGAAATTCTTCAACCACTCTGGTTTCTCTGCCATTCTTCCTTGATTTTTGTCTTAATCTTCAAGTAGGATCCGGAGAAAATAAAATGTTGGTACTTACATGAATAAGTAATGACAGTAACCTTCGAAGTATTGGGTTATATACCTTCGAGGCCGGAATGTTATTGTCACGTGGCATGTGCCTTCGCGTAGGGCTTTCGTGCGGGTAAAAAAATACCAATGGTTGGATACGCGCCTGCACCGTTGTAAAGTGCTGTCCAATCATGTCGTGCCAGGGACGTGGAGTTTACAATGATCAGTTTGGCACGCGCAGGGCAGACCACTGCACGTCAGCTATTTTTGCCAGTGCATGGATTGACTCATGACACTAGAGACTTTTTCTTTGAGGGAGTGAAGAATACAAACATACGCCAAACCTTGACAACTTAAAGGCGTAAATCGTGCCTTGTCTGTGCTACGGCCACGAGTGTATTGTAGGTAGGTCTTATTTATTCGTAACGAGTGACTGATTTTTCACGAGTGAAAGTGTGTCTCTAGTCATCCAGCTACATTATATAAAATGTAATCTGTGCTGTATTTTGAGTCGAAATCTACGGTGCCAATATATTTCTTCGTCCCCTACTCTTTCACAACAGAGCTACACTCGCCAAGAGCTCACAACCTGATGAGCACTTTGTATAAATAACTGAACGTGGTGTATGTGCGATGGAGACCCACCAGTCCGACGAACACATGGACACGTGTGATGCCAGTGCCTCACATGAAGCGATGAGCATGGACACAGCATTTCAGCACAACTGCACTCTAACGATTGAGAAGCATCCGCCAAAATGCACCGGCTGTCATGATCTTGACTGCTTGATTCATGCTATGGCACAAGGCGTGGTTGTGGCTTCGATAGACAAACTGCCGGGAGATGGACTTCCAAAAGGAGTGTATCAGATTCAGATGTCATGTAGAAAGGACGTGCCAACACCAAATCCGAAGAAATCTCAAAGGGAGGACAAGAAAGCTAAAACGTTTCAAGGACAAAAAGCGAGGTCGAATCCAAGGCAATCTGAAAACAAGGCAAAGATATGCCAACGTCATAAAGTAGAGCCGAACGCATGTCAATCCCTTACACTGCGCGGCTGTGAAGAACCAACGAGCAATTCAAAAAAGCAAGAACCAATGAATGATACTCCAACAACCCCGGCTTGC